CAAGGAGGGACTTCGATTCGGGCATGGGAGATTTCCCACGGACTTTACCCTGTTACTGAACAGACTCTTTACTCCCATCTTTATCGTCTTGATATTATACTTATTGTCAACGTTACTTTTATTCGTATTTTATCCAACCGTTTTAATTGTTCAACGTTAGACAGGACCTAAAACTAATAGCCTATAAACGGGTCATTTATAATAATGTCAATTCATCGCAGCTCAGCGAGGCCCAGTAGCGCATGTCGCCGATCTAGCGAGGAGCATAATTGAGTGTGCGGTTTCGAGAAGCATAATTGAGTGCGCGGCGCAGTAACGCATCGCGCTACAAAAAGGATGTAAGTCCAATGCAGATGGAATAATAGCTCAGTTATTTTGGAGAAAAATAGTTTTGATAGATCAGTGTTGGTGAATTTATGCTTTTAAGCATGTTTAGGACATACGCAATATGACAATTATTTATTTACAAATAGATGTCAAAATTAACCTCGTTTATGCGAGTAAAATTACCTAAAAAACGACGAACACATTTGTTAAACGTTTTTAAAATAGGATAATGTTTTGATAAATTTTTTAATAATACTGTTTTTGATAAATAATTAATGTCGGTGAGGAAATATTTATCATATATTTTTTCTCATAGTGCGATGATATTTTGTAGACATGTGTGATGATGTGATATGATGTCATAAATTTTACTTTCATTTGTCCCATTTTCTCAAAATGACATCGATGTGACTTACTGCCTTTTCTCAGGGAACGACAAAATAGTTATCGAAATTGTACATTTACTAGAGTCTATAATCTATATTAAAGTCATGAGGTTCATTGTCAAGTATTTCGTTGCTCTAACCAGAGCCCTCTCGCTTGCAGTAGCGCTGCGACCGCCGTAGGCGGCAAAGGATATTCAAGGATATTCAACTTGTGAAACAAGCGTGTCACGCAGTACGCGTATACACATGGCTATGTGAAAGTATTTCGTTGTTAGAAAAGTGGGGTCAGGTGTTAACCTTAGGTATTGGTACCAGTAACTACACCGTTGTTATATGAAAAGGTAGTAAAGAATCGTATCAAGTCATACAGTATCAAGTCATACGCTTATACAGCAAAGCCCTGGGAAATACATAATTAGTGATATAGTAGTAGTAGTAAATCTTTCAAAGTACGAAATATCTCTTTAAAAGAGCATCCTAGGCACCTTATAGATATCAAAACGCATAAAAAAGAAAACAAAAACATCAACCATCTTCTAACTTCTTCCACTCCTCCCTATCTAAAGCTAAAAATCTAAGGTCTTCGAAATCAGTCAAATTCTTAAGTCTAATATCAAGATTTCTACTAGTCAAGTCTTTTCTAATAACATCTAATAAGTTTAAACATGGTCTACCCCGTCTCCCTTCCATAAAAATATCAGAATTTATAGCAAATAACATAGAGGTGTATGCTGGTGAGTCTTCCTGTCCTCTTAAGATATGTCCTAACATTCTCCATCGAAACTTAGAGATTCTCACAGACAAGGGAGTGACATTACAACGAGCATAGAGTGCCTCATTAGAAATAACCCCAGTAGGCCATCTGATGTTGAGGATTCTTCGGAGGTGTTTGCGATGAGCAATATCAAGTTCATTCAACGAAGCTAGTGGTGCAGCCCAGGAGTTGCAGTTGTAGAGTAGAATAGAGACTACTTGTGCCTCGTAGATTTTGATCTTCCTTTGGACTGAAATCTTGCTCTTCATCCAAACTTTCTGAAATTTACTAAAGGCAACATTACCAAGGAATATTCGATTCTTGATATCCTTAACAGTGCACATCAACGATCCTAAAGTTTTGTTAGAGCGCCACTCTTCATCACCTCTATACACTTTTCCAACAATCACCTTGCGTTTAACAGTGGGTTTAGGATCTGCTAAATAAAAATGGACAAATTCAGTCTTGGAAGAATTGATATGAAGGTCCCACTGCTGGAATATATCTTTAGCGATAGGAAGCATTTCTTTGAGTGGAGCAAGTTCAGTGTTATTAAAGTCAATATCATCAGAGTATCCTGTTTCGAGTGGCATGAATTCTTCTGAGATAGGAGGATTAGGGATTGGATGATTCACTGGGTAAGGTGTTGATGATACTTGGGAGAGTACAGATCTGAGGTGAATAAGTGCAGCGGCTTCAACAACAGTAAATAGATTACCTGATAGTGCATCTCCTTGAAATATAAAGCAACTTAACAATCTTACCCCTTTCAAACTACAAACAAAAGCTTAGGATAAAATTCGAGGTGATTGTAATAATTTAAATAGTCAATATAAAACTTCATTTATAAAGTAAAGGTGAGATGAAACTCTTGGAGTTCATATAAAACATCTCCAATGAAATCTAACAATAGACCCATAAAAAACACCAGGGGTAAAATCTATCAAATACACAAACTTTCAAACACTTATATATCAGTCATCATTCATCAAATATGATTAAAATCTAAATCCTTAAAACACCTAACACATCTTAATAAACCAATAACAAATACACAATAAATAAATTATCCAAATCTTAAAACTCCGGTATCCAAAACTTCAAGTATTAAATTAGTTGGTGCCCCAGCTTTGGTGAATACGTTTGCAACTTGCAGTTTATTAGATATCCAATGAACATCAATATTATCTAATTTTACAGTTTCTTTTAAACATTCTATTTCATGTCTAAGTCTCTTATCCTCATTCAGTTTATTACTAACAATAGAATCACACAAAGTTTGACTATCAACATAACATTCAATTTTAATATCCTCAATGTTGAGTAGCTGTGATGTCATTCTGCGAAGGAAGATGCAGGAGTCAATTGCTTCAAGGAGTGCATAGGTTTCTGCAAACAAGGTGCTTCTTACAATTCGCTTTAACTTCTTTGAGCACCATATCAAAGGAGTGGCAAACTGGCTATCATCCGACTTAATGAATACTACATATCCACCCTGTGAAGCTCCATTGTAGAGGTTTTTGTGTGAGGCATCACTAAAGAGGATGAACTTCAGATTTTTCAGACTCCCAAGTGAGTGATGTTTGATACAGACATGCTTAATATCAGTGCAAGCAGTCATGATCATTTTCTGTTCATCAGCACTCAGATCCATGGACCTCATCAATTTGAAAGCAAGCACATTGTCAGGATAAGTAATGTCAATAGCTTTAGCTTGTTTCATAGCACGGTCAAAACGAATCATAAAGTCTGCGACTTCTTCATCTTGATTTCTCTTTATATCTTCAAAAATAACATACCTTTCATAGGCCATATCATTTTTGTCTTTCTCAAACACAGCATCTAGATGTGTGATTAAAAGCGCCAAACCATTTTCTTTGACCATATCTTCTAGGGACATTTCAATTGCAACAGTTTTGTAGTCTCCACCCAAGACCCCAATAACCGTAGGAGCTTGTTTCTTCACCGCGACATCTGTTCCTAACTCCCAGATTTTAATCTCCTTTTTCCATGCTCCATAATCCTCACCAATCCTAGGAGGGCTTTGCTTTGACATTTTCACACTTCCTGCAACCACTGTTAACCTTAGGTATTGGTACCAGTAACTACACCGTTGTTATATGAAAAGGTAGTAAAGAATCGTATCAAGTCATACAGTATCAAGTCATACGCTTATACAGCAAAGCCCTGGGAAATACATAATTAGTGATATAAAGTAACTTAACATCAGGGGTGCTAATTGATAAAATGGATTATGACGAATTATATCAATAATGAACAGTCAACAGACCCCTTTTTGACACTGTCGTTTGAATAAAATTCCACTTCTCTTTCCTCTCTACTACTCTCTACTCCTATTGGTTAGATAAGAGCCCCTACTTTACTTCCATCCAGAGGTTACATCAATGATCAAACATCTGCAGTTATTGAAGCTCATGTCTTTTTGTACCTATACTACACATCTGACACTATCGTTTCTTAAATGCGGCTTGAACATTGAAATGTTCTTAGGCATCACATAAATTCGCAAATTTGTGTGATAGTTTTATTTTCGCACTCAGCACAAAGTAGGTTCGAGTTTATTACTGAGTAAAAGTTGCTGAATTGCATGAAGAACGTTGAATAACCATTGCTTGTGTTGTGACCATATTACACCACGTGGCCTAACTGCAACTAGGTATCAGAATAAATAGATTCCCTTATTAGCAAAGAATGTACACACTCATTATTAGCTGATAACCAGAGTACCCGTGTCAAAATCTTATTAAACATTCTGTCCTAATAAGTATGATTTAACATGCATACACCGTTATCACTGAGTGAGGGCCCCTTTTTCTTCAAAAAAGAGAGAAAAGAGAATGTGCACACATATTTCTTTGTAATCTGTAAGCACATTTGCATTTACATCTCTTTGACTTTAGTTATTATATCACCATAAAACAAAGGGGTCTACAATGGAAAAACGTACCTATGTGCCGTCCAGCTACGTATTTTGCTGCCCCTGAATTTTTGTTAATGTCCTAAAAAAGAAAGAAAAGGTCAGGCCTTCGTTTTAAACACCCACCCCCCATAGCTTTTTGCTGTCCTCGGCCCTTGGAGCATTTTGTACCCCTAAACATTTTTTCACATCGTCTAAAAGTTGTCCGGGATAATATAATACAAAAAACGGACGGGAAAAAAAAGAAATTCAGGAAATTATTCCCTGAATTATTATGATGCAATTCCCCCTGGAAAGCAGGGGCTGTCGATATACCACTGGAGTTCTAGTCTAGATCTATACGATTTTTGTGAAATAATCTATAATTTCACAAAAATCGTTTATATCTAGAGTAGAACTATTGTTGTGTAACCATATAAAATCTGCATCAATTTAGCTATAGCTAAATTGATGCAGATTTCATATGGTTACACAATAATTGGTCATTAAAACATATTTTGATCTAGATCCTCTGATAAAGAGACTCCAGTGTGGAACTTATATTTTGACCCATATAACTTGTATTTATATTGATATTATATATGCTTCATACTTAAATTTCAGTTTTACATTATGGTTTCATGGAAGTAGAAGAAACAAGTTGAGATGCCGAAGCAAGTGAGTCAGATTTTATTATTTAGAATTTTAAATCCAATTAATGAATAATCTAAAACCATATTAAATCTTCCTTCAGTACACCTTTTGATAATTAACCTGCATCTATAACATTGTAACTAATACCTGACCTGTGTTATATGACATACATATTATAAAAGAAATCCGAAAAATTCTAAACTTAATATAAAAATGTTTATATCTCAAGTCATTGCCAGAAAGCAAAATAAAGTATGGATATATGCAATTTTGATTTAAACACAAAATCTGCAAAATGATCAATTTTTTAATGTTAATATTGAAGCTGAGTTCGAGAATAAAGCAAAAGCAACTGAGATAATGGAAATATAACGATTTAATATTCTTTTGGGCGTTATAACAAACTTCCAAAAGTTACTATTAATAGGAAATACTATATTTGGTAAATGGTAACTCATTTAAAAGCTGTCAGTATTTAATAGCATTTCTGACAGGAATTTGTTGTTTGTTACCAACATTTAGCATGTCACTAGTTATAATTCTTTCTGGGTATTATATCCCGAAAAGTCGTGAACACTGGTAACCGACAATTTCCCGCAAGGGTTGTCACTTGCCAGAGTATTATCAGGACAGACTGCGAGTCACCTTAAATTGGCTGGCGGGAAGTTTCAAAACATAACAGTTGCGCACTATATATTACATACTATATTGTATCAGCGCACATATCACATTTACACACAAAGTGTCAAAAAATCGAAATCCTGAGATGCAAGTTCTGCGTCTTGTATGATACACTGAATTCTGAATTGTTTTCAAATCCCAAAGGATTTGGTTGGCCGGTAAAGTGCAAAATGGAATTAGCATGTTGAAATGTTGTGTGCTAGTTTGTATGTATATAACAGCACTGAGAGCAAGGCTCACAATAGGGACCACGTGAAAATGAACATGTAATAATTTGCAATTCTCAGCATTAGCAATCGATATCTTTCTGAGAATGTATATCAATATAGACATTTTACGATAGTCTGTTACTAAGAATAGAATTTTTTATGTTATAATAGCATCTTTTGAAGTTTGGCTAGATATAATATATTTATCATATTATTATGATAGTGTTATTGGCAAGAGGTTAATATTGGCTACTCCTTTATTTCTATAAATGCGACGTCCTATAATATGTACCTAAAACTTAACATACAATTGATTATTAGACTACGATACAAATTGTTAATTATACATATTAATTAGGATATAATTTCGTTGTTATATCATAATTACTATTTGTTATTTAACAATTTTATGATAATATGATAATATTTTTCAGATCAACGTAACAGTATCAACAGTCGAGTGTGATTTGGACTTCGCCATCCAACCAAACACCTTGGGAAAAAATCTTTTTGATCAGGTTTTTTATGAAATTAATAACTTATTAACTATTAACTATTAATATTAGATAATTGTTAATTTTATCACAATGTAGAAAATGCATTGTAGTAAAATAGCGAGGTTGTTTTCAGATCCAATAGAATATCTTGAATCCCTAGAGTGGTGCTAACAAAATATTCAGGGATCCCATTCATTGAACAAAAGCTAGATTATATTTTCTGGCATGCACTTATGAATTCCATGAATAGTAACATAGTAATATTATCTGTAACCCAGCGCCCACTACAGGAGCAAAACCTCACAATGTATAACCTTAAATTATCAACCATCATGCCCGTTATCGAGCTTTGGAGCTTTGGCGTTTTAGGTGTCACATTTTAAATTTGAATGACCTCATTTGTTGCCTAAAACGAGAATTGTCGCCAAAAACGTTCAACCTTATCAGATTACGTCAAATTTCTACACAGTGAAAAATTCTGAGACACACCAATAAATCTCATAGTTGTTGCAATTATTTTACAATCGAAACCTTTAAAAAGAGGTGTACTGAGGAGTTATGCTTATTGGTATTTAAGTAACTTTATGCAACCTCAAATCAATCGAATTACAAATAAACTTCCAGAACATCATCTGTGTGCTCCATGACTACTTACGATATAATTTCTGCAGAAATAGACGGTGTTTAGTACTGTCTAGTTTCTTGAACTTTCTCCTGTCATATAACTGTCATATAACTATATAAACTTGGTGGATCTCAAGCCTGTAAATAGAGAGCTGGTAAACTGCTTACGTCAGCTGACTGATGTAAACTCAGGGACATAGCTCGGCAAACTGTACTATCGATTTCACTCACGGCCTCGGTTTTACCGCTCGGCCTAATTCAGTTACGTAGTGCAGTAAAAGGGGCCTAACTAATTTAGTTACGTAGTGTAAAAGGGGCCTAACTAATTTAGTTACGTAGTGTAAAAGGGGCCTAACTAATTTAGTTACGTAGTGTAAAAGGGGCCTGACTAATTTAATTACGTAGTGTAAAAGTGGCCTGACTAATTTAGTTACGTAGTGTAAAAGTGGCCTGACTAATTTAATTACGTAGTGTAAAAGTGGCCTGACTAATTTAGTTACGTAGTGTAAAAGGGGCCTGACTAAGTAACCTGAGTTACGGAATATTGAACAATTATTCAACATATTTTATATCCTTTCTCCAGATCATTCAACGCACAGTCACACAGTGAGATCTCGACAGTTTAGCACTATGACATGATCCCCACGATTGATTTTGACTGATTGAAGCAGGACTGACCGCGTTGGCGCGTTCTTCCATAGTTCCATTTCTTGTCACACGTCTTTTAACCCAAAGATCCATTTTATTTTAGTATATAACATAATATATGTTATACATGTTTTGCAGTGCGTGGTGTCACTGCAAATATCAGACATTTTGCACCCAAAGTAAATGATCAGGTGAGTATTTTAAATACGTTTAAATGCGCTGTAACATTCACTAGCTACGGGGCGAATATTAAAAATGCTTCATAAACCGTCAACCACGCCATTATCTGGTTTTATAAAATGAATATTTTGCGAAATTGGTGGGAGCAATATATAATAATCTGAGGAAGCTTGAGAGAATTGGGCATGAAGATTAATACTTTGATAAAATTATTTGCATATGTTATCTGATTAATATCGTACAAAATCGCCCATCTCACCCAGACATCTCACGAAACGTACTACCTTACTACTATTGATTGAGTGAGCTGCATGACTCGACTGCTGGCAAAATCAAGCAGAATTACGTAATTTATGCAAATCTTTACCCCTATTCTCCCTTTTAATCACTCTTGGGTATAATTAAGTAGAAATTAAATTAGGCAATCCATTTCGAAAACCCCTCCCTCCCGTTACCCTCAGAGATTACGTAATTTATTGAGAATAATTGCCCCATATGTATTACATATGAGGCAATGTATTATGTAAGCTGACTACTAACTTTATTTAATGATTTAAGCGAATGGATTTTGACTTAATTTGATTCTACTAGACATTCATTTCAATCTGGCGGACAGTGAAATTTATAGGAATGAATAATTATCTTGATTTAAATATAAAGTTCCGCTGGCAGTTGATTCATAATTAGGCTCTATCGCAAGAAAACTTTAATAATTTTCGTAACCGTGAGTTTCTTTGTGATTCAATCCGATACAGGGAGCAGATTATATTCATAACACAGAAGCAGATCAGTATCAATACTGGAAATGTTATAACTCAGTTATTACTCATTAAGTCATTAAGTTATTTATTAACACATCTGTGAGGAAGTCCCGTTATTTGGCTGTCAACAATAATGTTCACAATATGAGATCTATAAATAGCATCATATTATTACACTTCTAAAAAAGTAGTCCCACATTTTCTAGCTGTCAACTGGCGTCAACTGGATCTCGTTGACTGTCTCACACACACACGGCTTCAATCCAGTTTAGTTTTATATTAGTGACGATGCCCTGCTTTTACGTATAAAAAGCAGTATTCTGGTCAATGGTCATTACTTAGTCAGTTCATTAGCCATTACTCACTGACCGAAATACGTAGTGTCATTATAAAGGTAGATACGTCATGATTAAAGGTGAATCAGTCAAAAAAAACTCTGGGTATGTCCATGACGCAAGTTCTAAAAATTGGCGTAATTAAGCATTGACATAACCCCTAAGATAAATCTCTGGTACAGTTCAATTCTAAAAATCGGCGTAATTAAGCATTGACATAACCCCCAAGATAAATCTCTGGTACAGTTCAATTCTACATATTTTAGTACTGTATTAGAAATTCTTCACATTAGAAATTCATTCTCTAGAATGCTAAAAAGCTTCAAGATAAAGCAGGCAGATGTACACTACCTGCCCTTCTAATTTACACAGCTCAAATGCTTTATCTGTCGTATAATTAACGAATGCTAATTACCTTCTATTATGACATGCTGTAGTCGAATTATACATTATTTATGCTGAATAGTAAGGTATGTGCATGTGTGTAGGCAGTAAATGACCGTGTGAATCTCCCCTCCTAGATTTGCCATACGATTGGAGTTAAAGAAGTTTGGTACTTTGGGTTACAGTATGTAGATAACAAAGGTGTGACGTCATGGCTCCGGATGAACAAAAAGGTAAAATCACACAAATCACACATTTGGGCGTGAACTTACCACATCTCCTCCTGCGTCACATAGTTATTAAATATTTAAACTTTTGTAGTAATGTAGTTCAATGTTTAATTCTGTGTTGTCTGGGCAACAGTGATTTAGTATAACAGACCGGGTAACCACGTCTTTTGTTCTACAAATAAATCCCGTAAAGCTACTAAGACCTCAGCTAAGCATTTATTAGTCGTTGAGCTGACAATTGATCGCCTCCTTATTCGTAGCAATACCATCATGCCTCATGGAAGATACACCATTACATCTTCACCAGTTATATGTATAATGTATATTCACACATTTTTTCTCGCAGGTAAAAGATCAGAATCTACAGAAACAATATCCCTGGAGATTCAGATTCAAAGTTAAACTCTATCCAGAAGACGTTGCTTACAACATTATTCAAGATGTCACATTGGTGAGTTCACTTTCTCTTTCATTTTCCCCTGTTGGTGAGTTCACTTTCTCTTTCATTTTCCCCTGTTGGTGGGTTTCGTACTGTTAATAAATAATAACAGTCTGTTCTTAGGAGGAGTCCTAACTCTCCTCGCGTCCTAAGATGGCGTTTCTATTTTCTCATATAGTCATTATATAATATATGGTTAGTTTACTTTCTGTATGATGCTCATGATCTTCTGAAGAATTTTCTGAAGGATTTGTCCTCTTACTGGTTTTATAAAAGTTATGCTGCAACTTTCATAACCGCTTAACGTGTAAATTGATTTGCCATGATTTTTTTATTATCTGATTGTTTCACACTTTTCATATTTCATAATTTTATTACTAGGTGGAGGTGATGTTATTGAGACTTTGGGCGGCCATAAAACTCCTGTTTTGAAAATTGTCCTCTGTACTTGTTTCACTGACCCACGCTTTATAGCATCTATACATGTCGGCCCATTTTATATGTTTGTTCGATTTGCTGTACATTTGTATATTTGCTATTTTGTAAAAGTTTCAAATCAAATCAAATCATGACCAAATAGGTTACGTGGTAAAATCAAAGTTACCGTATCAGCCGATATATTGTAGTATCTTGAGGTAGTAGCAAATCAACCGTTTGTCAAATTCAATTGTTTAAATAACTGGTGAAATGTTTATCTGACTGGCTCAGGGGGGGGGGGGGGGGGGAGCTGGGATCATACACTTAGTACCTGATCCCCCCCCCCCCCTAGGCCCCCTGACTGACTGTATTACTATTACAGCGTTCGTAATCATGTTATGTTACATACTTATTACACAATACATGCATGTATTATTAATATTAGCTATAAAGTCTGATACTTATGATGAAGGTGTTGTATGTAGTATGTAGTATGTTGTATGTAGTATGTTATATGTAGGTATGTACAACATACTGATTTCCCACTGCAAATATTGCCCTTTTAATGATATAGAATAGGAGCTCTACAGCCAGCGAACCACTATCCCCACTCCCCAGTGTGCCTTCTTGATCCCCACTGGGTGCTGAATCACAGTTAAAGTGATCGCTTAAACTGTTGGTAATCTAACAGTAGTATAAATCCAGAACCATTCATAGAAAGGACATTACAAGTTTAACGAATTTTCTTGGAAATTAAACTGCTCGACTAAAAATGAATGGTATTGCCTATTATATTTTATTGCAGTTAAGGGGGCCGGGGGGGGGGGGGGGGGGGTCTTCATCAAAATTCTCTCGAAATCGACTTTATAGTTGTTTCTGATAGAGGGGAGTGATATCTATCAGCTGCTTTTGGTCCCATGGAAAAATATTGTTCCTAGCCGAAATTATCGCTGGTCAAAGGTCAGCGCTTATGTGTAATTGTATTGCGCGAGCGATTTTCAATCGCGCGTTCTGAAAATCGAGTCTAAAAATCTATCTTCTCCTACATTTTTTGAGCAATCACCCTCAAACTTTCAGGATATGTTCTTAGAATCAGTTAGAAGAGAACTCTAGAGCCAGAATTTTGAGATAGGCCTTTAAAGATTTTTAATTTGATTTTGAAATTCTTTGACCTTGATTTTTAGAGGTCCAAGATTTTAAAAATCGAATTAAAAATCTTTAAAGGCCTATCTCAAAATTCTGGCTCTAGAGTTCTCTTTTAACTGATCCTAAGAACATATCCTGAAAGTTTGAGGGTGATTGCTCAAAAAATGTAGGAGAAGATAGATTTTTAGACTCGATTTTCAGAACGCGCGATTGAAAATCGCTCGTGCAATACAATTACACATAAGTGCTGACCTTTGACCAGCGATAATTTCGGCTAGGAACAATATTTTTCCATGGGACCAAAAGCAACTGATAGATATCACTCCCCTCTATCAGAAACAACTATAAAGTCGATTTCGAGAGAATTTTGATGAAGACCCCCCCCCCGGCCCCCTTAAACAGTGCTCCATAGATTAAATCAGTTAACTACAGTAAAAACTCTCTATTCCGTGAAACTCTCTGCATTCTGTGAGACTCGTTGTCACGTGATCATTCCTTTCCCCGATATTTCCTTATCCAGACAGCTAAAACTCTAGCTATAAAGTGATATCTGTTTCGCCCGAGAATCACAAAAAAAAGAGAGTATTTAATGTACCTGCAATGGTTGGTTCTTGGAATATAAAATCGTTGGAATTCCATTACATTAATGTCTCCATATTTTCAAATTTAAAGACACCTTGCGAAATTCTCAGTTACATGCCCATTATATTTACTGTTTAAAGGTTTAACTGATCATGACAATGCTTGCAGCTTTCTAGTTTTAAGGTTATGGAGGTTTAAGAACAAAGCTTTCATTTCGTAATCCTGGATTCTAATACGAAGTCACAATAGTCTTATGAAATGCTTGATTATTGGTAAGTCTCTTGCGCATTAGCTGGCTTCTTTTCAATCTACATCAACAAAGTGTTGTATGTTATTAATGTGGGTTATAATAGTGATTTATCCCCACATCCAGAAAGGCGGCAGATCGGCAGATTATCTGAGAGGAAAGTTTGGTTCTGGGAGGAAATTTGATGCCGAAGAGCATAAGAATATTTTTAGGGGGAAACATTGGAGTCATGGACTGCGAGGAAATTTAAAACTATCTGGATGTGGGAATTTATGTAATTATAACATGATTCTATAAATAAAAAGAATAAACAGATCGACAGAACAATTTCCTTTCTTTGTTTCTTTGGTCATTATGATTCAATTAATTTGATAATACAAATGTGATATCAAACATTGTCATTGTTAAATTTCTTTTGAATATCACATTCTTTTATATTATATTACTAAAAATATATATTACTAAAAATATTCTTTTAACATCTCTATTCTATACTTTTCTTAACATCTCTATTCAATACGTTTCTCTATTATCAAAGATAAAATACACTGATTTTGCGATAAAATGTATTAATACAGTGTGAAATTGTATAGTAATACAATCAAATAACTAGTCAATCATTCCATCAATAATATTAACCACCTATTAACATTTCAGAGGTTGTTTTACATGGAGATAAAGGACCTGGTTATAACTGACGAAGTGTACTGCCCTCCCGAAACATCAGTTCTTCTAGCGTCTTACTGCGTAAGTACAATTAAACTAGCACTATTTATAGTGTGGCTGGTAATTGGTATGAGCAATGAGCATCATAGTATAGGGGGTAAGGAGTTAAGGGAATGGACTAAACTGTTATATTGAAATAAACCGAGATTGGAAGCTAAATAGCTTAGTTCTGCGTTCATTTTGTGAAAAATATGACTCAAAAAAACATGACCGTGGTTAAATTAAGTGGCTTAGCCAACATTTAAATTTACCATCATAACTTGGCTTATTTGCGTAGTGTTTCAGTACCGGGCAGTGAGTCTTGATTAATTGGAAAATGAGTGAGCTCATTTTAATGTGTTTTTGTTGGCTGAGAAACTACCAGGATCATTAAGTTAAATGATTCTCTCTGATACCAGATCCAAATTCTTACCAATCGGGGGCGAGTATTTACTATGATTATGGCATGATCAATTCTTTGCAATTCTCCATTAATATTACCATCCTTTTAGCTATAATATCTTAAATATTTAAGGGCACTTAAGCGAGTTTTACTTCTAACACTTTACTTACTATCAGTGTCAAGAAAAGTTCGGAGACTTTGACCCGGAGATATACCACACAAGTTTATTAGACATAGACGGTCTTCTTCCAGTCAGGTAACAACTATAACAACCATGACAACTATAACAACCATGACAACCATAACTACTATAACAATCGTATCAACCATAACAACCAAATGTCTTTTTAAAGACAGTTTGTAACAGGTCCAGTGTCCACACACCAAAATTGCCACTATTTGCTAGGATCGACGCTATTAGAATCAAACTTTTTGGCAAAGAACAAACATACAATATGAGATAAAGAATATTCTCGACTAATTATACTATTTTTGTACAGTTAATATTTTGGCAGCAGTGCTTGTACTGCTACTAGTATTGGCTTTATTTAAAATATCACACCAACCCAACCTTGGAACCACCACACAATTAGTTAAAATTTAGCTGTCCAGATTTTTATTGGAGGTCTCGAGAAATGAAAAAAATAGTATATTTAATAATAATATTTCTTTAATGCGTCATGTAGTAGTGAAAATTGCTACGCTAAGCCTATGTGACATGTGCCTATATTTTCCACACCGATAATGTTCACTGCTGAACATTATTGGTGTGCATTATGCAGTTCTGTGGAATACATAATTCTGTTACTAAAAAGAAGGGTTTATACACAAATCGATTTAATCGATGCTAGTGGAGATCTAATATACTAGTTTGTTAGATATATAGATGATCTTCTGCCAGTCAAATAGCCATATTGATACATATTAGGGAATGTTCGGCCTTTTTAAGATTTTTATTTTGTAACAGGTCCACACCAAAAATGCTAATATATTACTTGGATCGACACTATCAGAACCGCACTTTTTGGCAAAGAACAACCAAATACACCAAACAGCGAATGATTATACTATTTTTGTACCAAAATCTTGGCAGCAGTGCTTGGCTCTAAAAATATAACACCAACCTTTTAAAGAAAAAAGTTTGAACCCGCACATTTCTCTAGCTTTCCGGGTTCTATAGTTCTATATTGAACAATGGACATCTCGAGAAAAGAAGAAAACAGTATTAATGTAATACGACAGACGACTACAGTACATGCTATGAATATTAACAGATCTATTTATCTATATATGCCAACCCCGCCGCGGAATCTTTTTCTTTATTATTCAGTTACTTCAAGTTACTGAGAATTATTATAGATATATTAATTTTGTACAGTTACTTTATGTGAGTATTATTTTAAAACTATGTTAATTCAGAGTGATACAACAGCACAGACTAACACACAGCCAGTGGGAGGAGAAGATAGTGGATTGTTGGTTGGAGCACAAGGACCAACTCAGGTAATAACTCATATTATCATAAACTGTTATCTTACTAGTTATCTTACTTTGTTAACTGTTGGAGCACAAGGACCAACTCAGGTAATACTGATAAACTGTTATCTTACTTTATCTTACTTTGTTACTTTGTTAACTGTTATCTTACTTTATAAATAATTTGTCAGCTGTTATCTTATTTTACAAATACTTTAACTGTTATTTTACCTTTTTATTGATTGGAGATGAAGATTTAAGGGGATTCGTTGGGTCACGCATTGATCCCAAAATTCACCGCTTTCTTCTCCACCTTCATACTTTAATAGATCCACATCAACTTTATCTAATTAGTCACCAGTGAAGCCATACTCCTTGTGTAGAATTAGCAATTGTTTCCTCGTATTACCATTACCACGGTCGAGCGTTAATTAATCAATAGACTGAAAACATGCTCAATAAAGGCGATAGCTACGTTCATGGTGTTACTGATTACCCTCTACTAGACTCACTAGTAACTAGTCACTAGTTCTAGTGACAATCCCATGTGTGAATGATTGGTTTACACGTTCTAAATGAGCCGATTTGCGTGGTAGTTTGTTTTTCCCGTTAACTCTCAGTTATTCGCATCAATCTCAGTTAACACTAATGCGAATATTAACTGTTTAATTTTTTTAAACTGTATAATATTTTTCCACAGAATTGGTGAGTGGTTACTTTATATAATTACTTCAGTTTACAGGAATAGTACTACTTAATTTTGTTTTTGTGAGGAAATAATCCTGAGAATTTGATTGGAATTTAACGTTTCATAAGTTGCATTCCTACATTCTGAGTTAAACACATATTTAACTCCTATTTAACTATTTAACTATTTAACTCCTGTAACCTCCCTAACTGGCTTAATTGAGAAACGTCAACAAGGTTGAGAGCTCACACACAGAATTTAATGCGTCACCCTCCTTTAAACTCAAACTGGGGGTTTCAAGAACTAGACTGATCGGTCATAACCAACTTGTACCATCTATATTCTGTAATCTATACATTATCTCCTCCTCGAACATCGTCTTTTGCTTATTAATGTTACCCTCACCACGTTTTTTTCAGTTCCGGTTTCCTCGTTGCGTAAGTGCTGCACAATTAATAACTCAAGCAAATAATAATGATCTCAGATACTCAGATAGATTAACAATTAAATTATAACCCTCGTAAGATGAGAGCTCTCAATTAATCTTTGAGTGCAATTAATTAATCTGAAAATCAGCATTACAAGCACAGATACACTACGATCAACCAGAAGATTATAACCATGATCATTTGACATTTATAAATAAATAGCTTTAATACATATTATCACTTTATCATGATAGAAACTTTCACTGCTGTAATGACATATCAGTTTAGTTAAAACTGTGTCAGCATAAGAAACAACAGCTCGAACCGATTCTTTATAATAAAAAAGTGAAACCAATTCTATGGACTATGCCCAATAATTTATCATATTAATACAATCGTATGTTGTCCAACATTCGATTATAAATTAATAGACTTCTAAACTTCCCTCTCTGTTCCCAGGCACAGGTAGAATAGTTCTTTGAGTAGCTGTAGTGCAGATCTTACCATGTATGTGAAAGCTATTAATATTATACAATCCTCGTGAACTTTACATCAGCGACACAGCAGAGCTACCTAGAAATCCATCACAGGCGGAAACAATTCTTAAAATAAAGCTCAAAATCTTTAAGATTTGAAATCTTTGCTTCCTTGTCCTGTCACGTGACGTGTTGCTGGCATGATAAGCTTACGCTCCTCTGAATAAGTATTTTTTATTTTATTGACCCTCCCAACCCAGAAAATAAAGAGACGTATTCTCTCTGACGTAAGCCTTGTATTGTATAAGCCTTAGTCTCTTAGTATTTAGAGCCTGCCTTTACAACCTTTTTTATCACGAACATCTTTGGCAGATTTTGCTGTAAAATTGTAAATTGTGATACGCTTTCTTACTATCTAAAAATCTCAAATAAATTAGTAGTGATTACGAAATGGTCCATTAGGAAACTAAAAATAGATTATTGGAGTAATTTTCAGCAGGAGAAAACTAAGTAACCAACCACGTCATGATAGTATTAAACCTACTTAAATAGTCTATTGATAATAATACTCATATTTCAATATACCAGGTACATAATATTAGTACTAGTGTGCTATTAGCAACCAGTTTAACCACCGCCAACCAATACAACTCGTATTGTGACGTGTCATTATTTTATTTCTTTTGTAATTGAACTGACTATTCCTATGATGAAAATTTACAAACTTTAATACACGTAATGTATTGCATTCAAATTTTAGATAGAAAATCTACCAAAATTCTATGACCTCTGTCTAAACTCTTCTAATATCGTTACAACGCCTATCATTAATTTTTATATTATATGCTGAAATCTGAATATTTGATATCATAAATAACCAAAATCGTAATCGTGTACTTTAAAAAGTAGCTTGAAACAATATGGGTTAATATGAAACTTTTGAATATTTGCTGGCCCCTCCTATAAATGGCCATGTTGTGAGTAACTTGATCCTTGTGCATTTAAAAGGGCTCAAATTAATTATCAACGAATTTAGATAAAATATTTCAGAGAGGAAGCGATGTTGTCATTTCTGAAGATAGCACAAGATTTGGATATGTACGGAGTGAACTACTTCGAGATTTACAATCGAAAGGGAAGCAAGTTGTGGCTGGGTATAGATGCTCTGGGTATCAATATATACCATTTCAATGACAAGTAAGTTGAGCGTGGGCGATCTTATCACTTTACTTTTAATTAGTCACTTTATTGGCTGCATGGTTTGTTAGGAAATATTTTACCATGTTTTCTGCATGACTATGATATAAATCTTATATCCTAGCATGTTCTAGTTGATAGTAGGGGGGGGGGGGGGGGGCATCAACCTCATAAATGCCTATTACTCCCTCCGATCTCAGAATAGGTATAGGTATTTATGTATATTTATGAGGTTGATGCCCCCCATAGTACTACAAACATCCTTAGCGTTCAAGAATTGGTCCACGGAAGCGGGAAGTAGTTGTGTTTTATTGGAGTGTTCGTTAATTGCTAAACATATATTTGAATTATTTAGCATACCAGACGTATTTATCAAGGTCCGGATTTCTCTGAAACAGACTCTTATGACTGTCACTTGTTGTCGCATCCATTTATGGTATAAATATTTTCTACTGGTTATCAAAAATGTGTTTTTCTCCGAATTGGTATAACGGGGGTACATGGGTAAGTAGATGGTAGTACTGTGGTAGTAGTATATAGTACTGACACAACTGACAACAGTCAACGGAGTGATGTTTTTTACGTTTTGAATTTTTAATCAAAATCTTTTTAGATGAATATGATGTAGTTACATTGGAACGGTGAACACTTTTCTTTACCTGCAATTTGGGGTTTTAGGGTTTCTAGCATATAACTGAAACACGGTTTTATTTCAAGTTCTGAATTTGATGCAATTAATTAATATACGCCGTCAACCTCAAACGTTCCGCTATAGTGAGAATTTTTCTGGATACCAATATTTGGCTAAGTAGTAAGTAACCTTACTTTATAGCTTTCTTAGCACGTACTTTCGATCAGACTTACTGACATACAACTTCAACTGTTATTTGGGGTTTTAGGTTTTCTAGCATACAACTGAAACACGGTTTTATTTTATATTATATACTCACTGGAAACGAAGTCTCAGATTTTTGTTGTACATCGTTTCGTATTCTTCGATGGATTTGGCACAGATAGATTATTGTAGATCTTGTAAAACCTGGTAAACTTCTTAAAAGATTTCATTTAGTCTAGACTATGAATATAATTAAAATCAAGCAACAATTTTAATTAGAATCCCATTAATATAAAGTTGGCAACAAGATCAGAGAGCTGCTGGTATGAAAAGCGTCTGAATCAACATTGCGAGATATTATTGCCTCGCTACCAGAGTAATCGCTATCAGGGTACTCGCTACCAGGGTACTTATGTCTTTATGTCGCGAAATCGTGTCGCAACTCCCTATTTTGCTCAGACGAAATAAGTCGAAGATATTGTACTGATACCCAGCAAGCGTTAAACGGTTTGAGGTAATTTTGGTAATAGGTCGGGCTTCAAACATATTGTCTGGTCGCTATTTCTTGTTCACGTCACTAATCTGCTAGGAAGCTAGGATCAGCTGTAAGCTAGTGAGGATATCAAGCAGCGAGGCTGTCAACCGACGTTTTAAACGACACCGATTATTTTAACGGGAGTCCAGTTACTTTCAGTCATTCAAAGTGACAACTCGTATGAGACGTGTAATATTTCTAAGAGAGGTTTTGCTGAGGTTGATTAAAACTGTTGCTCAATATTGCACTATAATAAAACACAGTGTCAGTGTGTGTGTGTAATTCGTGGTCAATAAGAGTGTGAACTGTGAGAATGTGAGGCTGTGAAGGTGGATTCTGGACTAATAAAATGAAGGATTTTGTCAATATTTGAATAATGACTGGTTTGGTAACGCAGCAGTGCAATCACGTGTTGGCACAGTAACTACATTAATAATCACAATTCTCAATTGCAATTTATAGCTATAACTAAAAACTACAGAATTCAGAAGCTCACTTGAACTTATTAACTCAGCAGTCACCTATATAGATTATAGCTATATGAGAATTTGCCTCGTAATTCGTTAATAATGTTAGATATTGATAATTTTCCAAAGATAAATCTTGTAATTATTATAAATCCATTCTCTTCAGGTTGGCGCCCCAGATAGGTTTCCCATGGTCCGAGATAAACAATATCTCCTACAGCGACAAACGATTTACAATCCAGACAGCCAATAAATCACCCGTAAGTGACTGAACCGCTTTTAAAGTTGTCTGAACCGCTTTTAAAGGTGCTAAGTGATTTCTCCGCTCAGGTACTGGATTTATAACCTTGAAACTCATGAAATATAATATGCCTCATGCTGGTGCCGTTTATTTAATTCTAAAATTTCGTTCAAGATTTTGTGACTGATTTCTAACAGTTGCCACGTTTTATTAGCCTGTTTTAATCTGACCAATGGCTGAGGGATCCAGAATATTCTTTATATGGCAGAGTAATTATCTTTCTCTGCTTTAAAGTTCGATCATGTAATGAAGCATTCCTTGAAACATGAGCAATCTATATTATGTAGACTTGACAGGAACAAATGAGGTTTTGTCACAATCACCTGATCTGCGTTGACAATATTTAAATCACAAAGTCTCATTTTAAGTGCTTCTTCAAAAGCTTTTGATCATGTCGCGTGATTCATGTGTTATGTGTAAGTGTGTAGCACACTGTATTGAGTTCATAGATTATACTTGCCTGACATAGTTAACCGCAAGATGAATATATTGAATCTATGGTTTCTATTAAATCTCATAGTTACATTATCAATGATATAACATTTCAAATTCACTACAAGGGTATTGCGCAGGGCCCGGTCAGAGTGTAGCGACCGCATGCTTGGTAAAAGGATTTTTTGTTGTCACGCTATCAATATGCGACATGTTATTATGGATAACGGCTGTATGATCTATTTTACCTTTACAATTTTAACATCGAAGGCCATTTATGCTCCGGCGAGGGGTCCTTTTAATCATAATATTGCGTAATATTGTGCATATTACAGTAGTATTATTATGTCAGTATGTGTGACCTATCACTGGGCGACGTGTGTCCTGCCTCATGCCTGTATAATATCGAGATGTCCTTCATAAACCCTTATAAATAACATATCGTTATCGGACGTGCACGCTCGATACATGTCGAATAATGTATGAACTTTTAATTAATATACCCTTCAACTTAACGATAATACTGCAATCTCTGACTTCCCTCTCTCTACAGGACTTCGTGTTTCTTACCTCCAAATCCCGGATAAATAAAACCATCCTCGACCTGTGTATCCGAAACCACGAACTTTACATCGCACGGAGAAAACCCGAGTCGCCCGAAGTTCAGCAGATGAAGATGCAGCAGATTGCGGAGAGGAAGGAGCGCAATGACGAGAGGTGGGTTTTGTGAATATAATTTTTAAGTAATTATATTACGTCAGGAATTGGAGTTGTGCCAAGTTTTGTTTTACCACCCGGTCATCAGCAAGCTAATCCTTATTTGTAGTACATAGTAGTTCAGATTGTAATTAGAGAGGTAGCGAATGTAAAAAATGTTGTGGGGCACTAATTCACCCAAAATAATTATTAAATTACACAGATTTCACAGAAAATTATACAAAGCTCCTTTAGCACTAGCTCCTTTGCCATCGCAATCATATAAGACAGTAATATTACATACTAAACAGGATGCGATTGAAAAAGGAACGGGAAGCAAGAATAGCAGCTGAGCACAATCAACGTGTTTTGGAGCAGAAACTTATGGTTATCGAACAGGAACAGCAGGCATCCAAAAAAGGTATTATTTTCAAGAGGTCCTGTAATTTTGATGCTATTTATAGAGGGATACTAATTTGAAACTTATCTTTAGCTTTGATAGTTATTTGGGGTCCTTTGCTCAGTACCTCTGCTCTATATGGTTAAGAGTTTTATCATACATATCGTATGATGTTAGGAGACATGAGCAAAAAGGAAATGTGATGTCTGAAAAGCTTCAGAGGTGGTATAAGCTATACATAAGTATAGCAAAACAATGGCTCAAGCGAAAGTTTCAAAAATAGTTACAGCTGATTCTTTGCATAAAAGACTCGAGTAATTTATGCATTCCTGAAATGTTTGTAATATTTGCAGCATTGTTGCTATACCAAGCGAGGAGTAATGAGTTGGAGCGAAAGATACATGATAGCGAGGAACAGTTCCGAAGGTTGAAGACGCAACGCGAAAACACGGAACAGGAAATGTCTCAAATGGAAGTTCAACTCAGTACACATAAAGAGGAAAAAGAGGAATTGGTAAGTTATGTTTTCTTTTGTCAAAATTCGATTTTAATTAACATTTTCTTCAATCAAGATGGTTAGTTTTTGTCCGACCGCACGAAATGGGGTCTACATATTTAAAAACTGGATTCCGCATACAGTTTCATGTTGAAATCATCGCGCAATATCATGTTTTATCGCGCGCGCGCGTGCACGATTTCGATCATATATCATGTCGATCAGATCACGTCCGTCGCTTAATTAATTTGATTTGATTTTCTAACTGATGAGTTATCATGATCGATCAATCGACAATCTGCATTTGATTCGGATGATTATCATAATCTTCAAAAGCCTGCAATACAATTTTTCGGTGTCTTACTTAGACTCTTTCTGAAGCAATTCCATCGTATATCCTTAGCATGCAACTAGGTAGAAGAATGTGACTGTACAGTGCACATCGCTTCAATAATATTGCTTCGATAACATTGCTTCAATAACATTGCTTGTAACTAACCATTTACTGCAGCACATATAATTATTCGAACATACCGTCTCAGAGGGAGCAATATGAATCGAAAGAGGCGTTTGCTATGAAAACTGCGATCGAAGTCGAACAGATGCAACTGAAATCAGAAAAACTCCGAAAAGAGGTCAGTTGACAATCCAGGAATGAGGGACTGCTACCGCACTTACCCAACTCTCAAACTTAATACTTTGATTCTAACTTGTATCACAATAAACAATTCGTGAATCAAAAACTTCCTATCAAAATAACTTAACCATAAAGTATAAAAATGTTTCCCGGTGTTACTTGTTGAAATACTTCATGGATTTTTTTACCGGTCCCTAACTCCGCCTCTCCCAGTACGATAACCTACAAAAGAAGTACAGTGAAGAGGCCTTGTCTCGTAGTATGACGGGCAGCGTGACCAGCGAAAATAGTGACCCAATGGAGGACACTTGTTCTGATGGACAGGTGAGGAATATATATATTTGTATACTACATTAAGTTATGAAGGGACCTTGAGTTTAGATACGAGCATTGTTGATATTTTGTCTCATTGTAGATATTTTGGTCAATTTATTTGAATTTCGAAATGAAAAATTATATACCACGAATCGTAAATCGACTAACCAATGGTATATCCGCTAGGACTTCATAACCGAGATTGAGGGTAACAGAAGCGAAGAAAACAGAGATCTGGAGACAACTCGAGATACGCTCCTCCATAAAAAATTAAAGGTTTGGAATCGACCACAACTTAACTCTAATTAGCTGGAGAACAAATAATTTTAAAACTTTAAATACTCATAAATTCGTTTCTCTTTTCACAAGTTAAGTTTACACTTACCTCAGGACATGGAGAAGGATTTGATACTAGAAAAGAACTTCAGTGCCCTAACGGACACCGACCATCACTACCTGGCAATTCAGCAACAGGGAGAAGACAAGTACAAAACCCTCAAGAAGATCCGAAAGGGAAATACGAGGCAGAGGGTCGAGGACTACGAGCACATGTAAGTTGCATTTGTAACTTACTTTTAGTTTAATTTTGCTGTCTGAAGATTTCGAAATTTATTGTTCCGACATCAAGATTTTATTGATGATCCACTATTTTTACTCAAAACCACCTCAGGACGTCTTACAGAGATGAAGAAGAGGCCGAGACTGTTTCTTGAGCATACAAACCACAGAAATAGGCAACAACCGACGTTTAGTTACACACGATGTGAACCTTTTACAGTTTTAGCAACTTTCTTAACAACTTGAAATTTTCTTATGCATATTTGACTATAATTTTACTATCTAGTATCACTAATTACTAACCATTTTCAATTTTGACGTTAAAATCTGAACGCAATTAAATCATTAATAAAATTTGATAAATCTACTAAATGTTCAATTTCACGTTTCATTTGGCTATCGAAAAGCTTAAATTTTGGGAATATTTTGAATTATGATTTTTGGTGCAAGTGGTGATTTTTAGTCCACAAATGCCAGTGTCTGACAGGAAATGACTAGATGACGTTGTCAGAGTGCCTATGTAAAGGATTTCCGATCTTGTTGATAAATATTTTTACTTGAATTTGCAGGTTTGTCCTGGAATGTACGTGTGACCTGTTTTTATATCAGTTTTTCTTGATAATACTTAACCTTACATATTTCAGACGTAGCTCATGGCTAATATTATTATATTTTGTGTAAAATTGATGGTTTTCTCAGTTAGGGCCTGTTCACACATTTCGTCAGCAAGTTTGCAGATATAAACTGGTGTGTAAAATGACATCAGCGTCAGTATTTACCCATGTTTAACCTACCCCTTGGCGCTGACGTAATATGTGGACGATTCCTTATTAATACTTCTATGTGTCATTCTTTTATTTCTATTTTAATAATATTTTGAAATCAAAAGTTGAATGTTTTAGGCTGATGACTGTCTATTATGTATTTGATGGATTTTTGGCATACTAAAAATGTATAAAAAATCTTTTAATATGATATAAGTTTGTTGATTTTGTAATGTGCAAGTGTGGGCCGCAACCCAACTACATTCTATTCTTTAGATTCAATGCATTCTAGAAACTACAGCACTTTCGTTGTATTTTTCAACTTGGACGAATCAAACTAATTCTTCATACCAAGATGTAAAATTGGATGGACCTAGTCCCTGGATTAATCATTAATATCATTTTTATGTGCTTATAACTATATTCATTATTGTATGAAATGTTGGTCAATTGTCAATAAAATAGATAAAATGTCGTTTTACTTTGACTGCTAAATAAGGTATATTCTCACATTGATATTACAATAACAGTGGCAAAAAATGAAGCATGATTCAGCAAATTTTTCGCTTCGGCAAATTCGAGCTGTCACATTGCCGGTCATGGCGATCAGTTGCATCATTCCAGTAAATCAATTGGGGCAGTCGCGGGAATTTATTGTAAATACCATTGCAATTAAACGAGGGGTCCCTGTCGCCTCAGGCGCAACTATTATTCCCTAGTTCGGCCCAGAGGATCGTTCTTATGCATGTTAATGTGGAAGCAGATGTTGTACTAGTGTACTACTATTGTTGAACTAGTGCCAATAACTTACTTCGGGGCCGGTTCGACCGGCGACATTCGCCCGTCCGGGACCACACAGAAACCTTGTTTCTTGAATAGTGACTAAATATTGTCATCTGACAGAGCCAAGTGTCTTTGGTGATTCTATTTTATTGCCAGTAGAATTAATGAGTTAAGTTCCATCTTGTGGCACCATCGAATTTGAAAGACTTTGTCCAAAGTGTTGGCTACCAAAGCTCGAAAGTTTTGTAACCCTTAATTTTTCACAGTTTGACAAAGAACGAAACGAAAACATTGAAATGTATACCACCAGCCGGCAGCAAGACAACCAGTCACCGCGTTAGACGAAGACTCAGACACAACTCACACTTCTTACATCTCACTCCTTTGTGCGAGTTTACAAGATATAGAACCACTCGAGGAGGTATAATATTACTAAATAATAATAGTGGCCTGTAGTTGAATGTGGTTACCTTACTTAGAGCGTTATCAATAAACGTAGACCGCGTATAACAACACTCACTACAGCATATTACTCACTCACTATACTACTCTTTGGGCTATTGTTTCTGCCACTTTCTGTGTGCTGTACTTCTCTAGTTCTTGTCATCATTGAATACTCGTTGTGGTACAATCAAACGAACACACGGCAACCATTTTCTTTCTTTTCTGTTATAAATTTATTCAGTTTGTTGATCGTTTGTACTGATAGTTAACTGTAGTGTACCTAAAACGTATGAGCTTATAGGTATATTGTGTCGGTGTGGAAAATATTATCAGAAGGATCTCGAATGTACAAAGTTTTACGGTTAATATTTTAAGTGATCATCTGACACTGAAAAACCCAATATTATGAAAAAACCAAAAGGGATCCTGTCGCCCCCTACAAAAGCTAAAGGAAGCAAAAAAGATAAAGCTAAAGAGGGCGATGGAAACTCAAACCATAAATCAGATGCAAAATCTGATCCTATTCCTAAGGAAGAGTCTGATTCACAGCAAAAACTTTCTGCCGAGGGAAGCAAAGCTACTGTATCAAGGAAAAGGGGATCATTCAGGATGTCGTTCAGGAAGAAAATAAAGGACGTTGTTCGGGACTTAGAAAACAAATCTCAAGCTGAAACATCTTCTGCTGGGGTATATATAATGTTCCTGCCGCCTGTTAGCATTGCATTGTAAATATTACTTAGCGTAACTATACTTATAGTACTACCCTAAAGTCTCTATTTCAATCGTGAACGTGAGCTGCACTGAGCAGTATTAGAGCAATTTGTATGTACTCATCAACTGATTAATTTACATAATAATGTAATCGTTATATGTTATTCATCACATAGTAATATTATCTGCAATCTGCATAATACAATAACAATGATCATGTTTTCAGGCGGACGGTGGTATGTCATCGAATCAGCGCCGACCAGCAGCTGAAGTAGCTTTAGAAGCTCATTCCATTTGGAAAAAGCAGGCACAAAAAATTCCTGAAAGTGATCCAGTTGAGGAAAATCCTTTAAAGATGATAAAGCTAAAAAAGGTCCCACCACCCGAAAAGAAGTCCTCGATGGACACAAAAGTAAAACCGGATAACTTAGACGGACCCCATCTATCAGATTATGTTTTTCAGACGGCAGTTGACGATCTAGACAATGAAATTACACCGAATCAGCGACGATTTGGCGACGTAGCTTCCGAAGCTCTAGCTGTTTCGAAACAGACCGCGTCAAAAATTCCCGAGAGCGAAACGATACCGATAGAGGAAACTCCGTTGAAAATGGTAAAGTTGAAGAAGGTCACGCCACCCGAAAAGAAACTCACGATGGACACGAAACGGAAGAAATTTGAATTACCCCAGCTGAGATCTACAAAAACGAATCCGAAAGATTCGGGGAATTTGCCTGACACAACACCACCAAAATCAGAACAAAACGCTACAGAATCCAAACCCTCTGCATCCAATGCTCCTATTGAAAATCAGGTTACATCGCTGAACAAAGATTCGATTCAGAAGGATTTAACTTCTACTATAGCTGAAGAAAATCAAGATAAACTGAAGATTCATGAGGAAAATATTGTCGAGGAAAACAAAGTTGAATTACAACCAAACAAAGATTCCTCCCTCGTTGCCATGGAAGTGGAAGTTGTCTCCTCGCCACAAGTTCAAACAGCAGTTTCAGTTTCATTTACACCAGTCACCATGGAGATGCTGGACCACCCTACTGTCACTAACATATCTGAATCAGATGAAGGCATCGACAGTGCAAGTGACAGCGTCGGCGAATTTGTGTCCGCCAGTGAAGGAGACGATATTGTTTACGAGGAACCTATACAAGAACTTCTCCATGGCCCTGAAGAATATTCCAGGCTAGGTACAAGACGGATATCTTTCAACTTTTCTAAGAATGTTGTCCATAACATAAGCCAGGATGAGTCCGACGATGAAGAGGAATCTGATTACGAGGAAGAAAAGGAAGAAAAACAAGAAGAAAAACAAAAAACAAGAAGAAGAGGAAAAACAAGAAGATCAAGAACTAGAAGAGGAGTTAAATGTGTCACCCAGCCTTTTGAATGTGTTTCAGATCGAGCAGCTCCGAGATAAGATAAGTCATAGAACCGAGGAAACTCAAGACGAGACTCAAGTTGACGGTCTGGGTAGTGATAATAGCGATGACGGTGACACTATTGATGGTGACACCGATACTCTTAATTCTGCCGATTTGGTAGAGAGAAGCATTGAACAAGATAGTGAAACGAAAGAGAACCCATCAGAGACGCATGAGGGATCACTTTCACAATTCCAAATGATGAGAGCAGAATTCATCGAACAACAGAAGGAAGCTTCCAATCGTAATCCAATTATGGCAAGTTCCAATCTACCAAACTTGAAAGGATCTTCGTCTAGCCCAATAAAACCGCCACGTTCTGACACTCACAAGGACTACCTCAGCTCTCAAAGAAGCACCAATGACATTGATGAAAGTTCACAGCTGTCAGGCACCACTTCCTCTGATAGCGATATAACTATCCAGTACCCAACACCACGTTGGAAACCAGCCTGGTTGGAGGTGATTTACCGCATGGCAGCCAGGTATGTGATTAGATTATATAGGCCTCTGACATTTTAAATTAACTGATGAAATCCATAATTGCTCTGAAATCTTCAAAGTGGGTAAATAAATAATTGTGCTGAGCGGTTCCCGGCCAGAGTCCGTCTGGTTAACCTGTGTTAAAGCGTTTACTGACTGCTGAGTATTCTTCACTCTGCTCTTTGTGTCGGTCTAGGTTCACGCTATTGATTAATAAAATAAGTTTGCTGCACGAATATATGTTTGGATACGCGGAAAAGTTTTGATAATTGTGTAGTTCCTTGTTGGACTTGGTCAGCACACATTTGCTTATTTGGTGCAGTGTGGTTTTGCTGGAAACCTGTTTGTGGTACTTCGTGTGGCAGTGAGTGCAGTTCTTAGTGACTACTAAAGTGTTTGGAGTGTGACTACAGTGACTACAGTGATTACAGTGACTATGGTAAGATATCATACATTTCATGATCTCGTCAACAATCCTGAAAAGATAACAATGGCAAACGGTTGTCCTTTATCTCGATATCAAAACAGCTTAGAACGCATTGTCAGTTAAGCCTCATAGGAAACCTTCTGTATCTGTAGTGTGACTTGTTTTGTAGCTCGCACACTGACTTTCACAGCTTTGTTTTTCAATAGGTTGTTTTTGTACAGGTTGAAGATCTTTAATTTATATATTACGGTCTCATCTTTGTCCTCCTCTATTCTCGGGAATATATTTTGACGGTCCTGTGTTTCTGTAGCCTAATAAAGTTAACGTTCCAATGGACGTTATGTTTCTGTTCCGTTACATAGCTGTTTTATTCACTTATTTTATCGGTCTTTCACAATGTCCAGCTACTAATCTTATTTTGAGATGGCTTATTTCCGGATGAGTGATTTTCAACAAAATTTTTTTAATTCACGATCACTGCTAGGACCGTGCACAATTAGTAATAAGAACCTACACAATTTGATCTCACGACAGCTATGTGTATTGAAAAATCTAATTTTAATTGAAATTTGTCGTAGGGGGCAGGTTGTTAGCGATATTTAAGGCCGATGTAGAATGTAGACGGTGGTATATTCCCTTTGCAGTTGATTCTATTATTACATGAAACCTGCCATTGTCTAATGCTGCAGAAATTCTTTGCCAAATTTTTTTTCTCATGACAAAAGAACAGACTATCTTTAGTTTAAATTTTCGAGTTCCTTTGATAAAACGAGTAACGATAAGCTCTTGTTTGAATCCCTAAAAAAACCTTTACTCATGTCAACGGAACTTGAATACCAGATTCTCGATAATACAGCGATTACCTCAGTTTCTATCCACAATTTTACCTTCAGATTTCATCACGTACGGAAGAATTATTTTCTCTGTTAAACCTCCAAAGTCCAAATATGTAATGTGCAGAAATTTAAAGCTATTGGTATTTATTACATCGTATTGTATTGTCACTTATAAAAACGCCGAGTACACCGAGTTATGCGAATGACGATAACTGAATATTTATCGTCAGACACAGTGATCTACAGAAGAGCTAGATCACAGCTTTTGACGATATTGGATATGACCAGCATTGTTAGAACATGCCCTTTAACGTCATGGAATTGAAAGTTTGATGTTTGATGTTTGATAGTTTACTGTTACACCTTTATTTAATAAAAGGTGTAGCACCCCGGTAAGTAATACTTTATTAAGTAACTCAGTAACTTTAACTCCTCCTTTTCAGGATCTTCAGAAGCTGGATGCTCATGTAACGCTAGATGAAGACAAACCTGTCGTCTCCTTACAGGGAGAGTTAAAGGTTGGTGAACATCAGTGTTAGTTCAGTTGAAGTTATGTTAAATGTTTAGTTATACTTCGTCTTTGTTGAGTTGGTTCACTGTCACGACTTAGCTGGGTTTTTTGTTTTTTTCGGTTCAAAGCTTATAGGGGTGCCCGGTGCAGCGTGCCTAGTGTTACAGCCATTAAATATAATTTGAGTGACTTATAATTTATTCTATAACTTAAAAGTCATTTTAATTATAGTTTCATTAGTGATAAGTGCAGTATAAGTTACTTTAATTACAGTTTAATTAGCTCTCAGCTAGGTTTTATAAAGCTGTACGGCGGCGAGTACTCAGAGGTGTGGGCGACATCGGGTCTAGTTAAGCAGCAAGGGAACCTGGAGTACCCAGGGAGAAATAGAGCTTGTGAGATTTTAGTTGAGGTTCACAAAAATACAGAACATTAGCATTTCTACAAAGAAAATTTGAACATTAGTAGTTCTAAACGTTTAGTTACTGCACCTTGTTCACGTTAAGTGCAGAAAAATTCAGCACAAAAACAATGTTTAAGTTACTTGTCAGAAACCACAGGAAGTTTTGACATTTGGTTATTTGTTTTAGGGAATGATTAGACTTGGGCGCTGTTTTTAGCAATAACTATCCCTTGTTTAGAACTTTTATTTGATGATAATATCAATAAGTTATTTAACAACTGTCACAAGATCTGAATAAAAACATTGTTTAAGTTTTAATTCAGATCTTGTGAGAGTTGCTAAGCTGTTGTTGGCACAGTTTAGTAAGAATTCGGTCTCTTGTAGGCTGTTGCCAGTCTGATAGTGATAGTTTGACTATCTTTTAATTTTAAACTTTTGACATGTCGCTGTAAAAGTAGAGGTAATTTTCACATTAAATGAATATTTATCGAGTGAGCTGAGAATTATTATATAATATCACGATCGATGTACAAGTATTCAACGAGCTCTTCATGACGTATCTGTTGAAAGAATATGAAAAAATCGGTCTAAGTGTCGAGTGTCGGTCAGACATTTAACCAATACGGCTGTTCTTCTTTCTCAGTCTCTGAGCAATCGTCAGATAGCTATAGACTTGGTAAATAATGGCGGCCCAATGCCCGTTTTTCAGACGCGTAATTTCAACGCTTATGCTATTAATACTTCAAAAATAATTTTCACACAGTTATTATTTGAAACCTTACTTATCACGCTTTAGCAAATATACGGATGCCTATTACTTAATCATTAGCTAATATATTTGTTGTTCGTTTTGCTGTCATTCCTTCATTCGCATAATATCGCTTGGTATTCTTTAGCTCCCCTGAGCCTTAGGCTAGGCGCTCATAATCCTTGATATTTTAAGTGACTCCAAATTATCTGTGTTTATTGGGCTTCCAAGTAACCATTAGTTGTACCGCTGGAAGGTTTCATGGTAATTACACATGAAGAGCATCTGAATAGAATGTGCCAGTGTTATCTAATCGGTACCGGCTTATAACAATACAGTGGTCAAACTAGATTCAATAGTAGTCGGCATCACTGATAATTCACATAACCAATAACGTTAAAAGTGAACTTTCATCAACACAATCGCCAAGTAAGCTGGCGTGGGAGCCGTAAGTGCGCTTTACGCCGTTCAATAAAGTGACTGATAATCACGCACTTTACCTGCCGTTTCCTTGGCTTGTTATAGTTATACGGACGTCACTTGACAGTCTTTCTTAGCATTCTTTGCAGTGGTCACCGGTTTCTAGCCCTCAACTTTTGTAAAATAGGTGGTCCCGTCTTCGGGTCCTCAGAGACGAACTTCTGACAGTCCGTCAGCCGTATTAAGGACTCTGCAAAATGAATGCCGTAAATATGTCAAACATTTAGTCATGACTCATGATCTTTTACCAGGTAATTCTATAGTGTGATCAATATTGGATGACTTCTACTGCTATAATGGTGACAAGTTGTAACAGCTGATCGGAGCTCCTGTCTTCTTTCTCTAGTCTCTAGCTCAACATTAAACATCTCTACAGACCTAACTGTACATGAGACTCGTGCCAAAAACTACAAAATCCAGCCAACTATAACAAAAGAAGCATTTTCCAGGCTTCCAGTCGGAACATTTCACGGTATGACCTAATCACTTAGAACTTGTTCGACCAACAAGGCACTTTAGATTACAACTAGTCTTACCTTGCCTCCTGTTAACATACTCTAGTTATAACTCTGCTAGGTGTAATTCTACCCTGTCCGTCTAAAGAAATGCCACCGTCAAACAAGCCGGCACCAGGGTGGCACCAGGGTGGCACCAGGGTGGCACCAGGGTGGTACTCCCCAGATAGGGAGGAGATACTAGTCTGACCCCTTCTAACTAGATGGTATCCAGATTGGAGAGTGACCCAATAATTAAAGAATTTCTAATCGAGACTGTCAACACGACTCTTATAGCTCCTTCTTCCCCCGTATTCGGATTATTATATACAAATCTCTGTCAACAAGCTAACTGGACACGTTACACCAAATTTAAACTCTGAGAGAGAATTAGAGTTGCACAGCTCTAGTACACAATAATATTTAGGAGAATCGATACATGTATGTTGTCATATTACATTTTGTTTCGTGCACCACGTACTTTTTTCCCTAGACGTACACACTACAACACAAAGCGCGTTGCCGGGATAGTTTTCTGACAGCTTCTCTACTTTTAGACCAGCTAGACTATAGGTTGATGCTGGGCCGACATTTTGCAGCGTGCTAGTTTTGTCTTGTTCCCCCCTGTGCTGTTGTTGTTGACAACTACTTCTCTCGTTTTGTTTATCCTTCGTTTTACGTCCACGTCTGTTAAACTTATAGCAAGGCTAGAAAGAGACTCGTGGAGATTTCGTGCTGTGTATGTGACAAAGATGATCGTATCTGCTGTGGATTGAAATGATAAGTGAAAGTGGTTTTTTGAGGAGATTCAAGGAGCATTTCCTACCAGAACTATATTTCGATCAAGATGAAAAGGTAATTAAACTGATGCTGACTATTGGCGACATGATTGACTAATGATAATTATGATAATGACTGACTTAACCACAATTAAAGTGACCTAATTAACGGTCCGATTGACAGTGGCACTGACATTGAAATTTAACTGACAGTGACACATACTGAATGCAAAGAACGCTCCAAACATTGTATATCATTAGATGGTTTCATATTCCTGACAGTCAGTCAACGTGCTGACGTATCAGCCTACAAATAATCGCGGGTAAACTATATTTGAAACTTTAAATCTGCCTACTTAAAAGCTAGGAGTGGGAGTGGCAGAAGAGTGAATGCACGAGTCGCGAGTGTTGGTTTATTTTATACCAAGGACCATTTATACGATATCTTAACTCTTAACATAGTATATTACGTGTTGATGTTTCCTTTTTGAGCAATGCTGGCGTTTATAACTATGGTGCAAACCATTCTTGATCCGAGATTTTTAATTCGGATCATCCAAATCCGTTTATTTGAGAATAATATGATTGCAATATCTGCCTGGACGACGTTAACAAGATGCCTGCGTTACTCAGTAAGCCCAATTTAGTCTAGTTTAAGAGATCATTTGATTAAAAAAGTATATCCTGATTACCATGCGTATATATGCTCAATTCACAACTAAATTTACACCATTTCATGCGATGAACAATCGTCTTTGCTTGTTGACTTGCCGTTATCAAACCTCCATATCCGTAAAATATAATCTGGTAAACACAATTCAACCATTCATTAGTTAGTTAAAATAAAGCGACACTTCTTTGACGGATTGTAATTATTAATCATTTAATCCGATTAAATGAATCGTCAGAGTGACGGCTTACATTTCTTTTGCTCTTGAATTTACAGAACCTTAAACTCTTTCGAACTTCAATGTTTAATGAGACCCTGGCCTATCTATCAATTTGTTTCTCACCATCCAATTTTCTAATCATGATTGTTAACAAATGCCATCTTTCAGAAAGAGGAGGACGTTAGAGAAAGGGAGGAGAAAGCACTTGTTGAAGTACAGAATGCAAATTCAAACAGAAGCAGGGTGGAAAAGCTTGAGAAGCTTATAAAGGTTAATATTTAGTATTTACTCTCGACTGTATAAATAGAAATGTTCTAAGTTCTAAGTAATCAAATACACGAGCTTTAAACACGGAACAAGACTTTTTACAACATTAAATGCCCGTCCCGAACACGAACTGAGGATCAGGTATGGAATACAAATTACAAATTCGATTACAAACACAGTGAGTGATCTTATAATTGGATAAAGCACGAACGGGGGCCATTTATAGAACACTTTAGTAATGACTTTTTATTTGTTTATGTCTTTGGATTGTTGTTTTTGGCGATGTTTCTATAATATTGGCAAGCCATGAAACAGAAATCAAGCAGGATCCTGATGCTTGAAAAGCTCATGAAGGTTAGTATTCTTACGGTCTTCTGTAGATCTGTTTAGACTTATCACCAGTGGATACATTTTGTTATTAAAACAAACAACTGCAATGACTTGTTGATATTTTGTTACCCTCACTATGACAACGATACAATCCCAGGCCAAAGAGAACAGTATCAAAACATTTATTACAAAGAACGATGCTCTGACTTCAGAATTGCTGGGGGTCAAAGAATTGCTCTATGAGAAAGATATGGCTTTCAGGTAGTTACCGTTTCTATGGTCGCTCGTTTTTTTGGGTTTTTGATTGTTTTTATTTTATCTTTGTTTCTGTTCTTCTACAGTTTTTATTTAAAGAGGTTCTTGTCGATGTTTCTGACACAAACGACTAAGAAAGGTGTATTTCTCGAACACTTTACAAATTTAGGGGAAGATTTCAATTTCAGTTCGACAAAGAAAACTACATGTGTAAATCCAACTTAAAGTTTTATGTAACTGCTATGAAGCAGTCCTCTTGGTCCCCGAGGCCGAGGAAAACTTTAAGTTGGATGTAAACATTTAGTTAGCTTTGTCCGAACTTATACTTGCTCCTTATTCACATAAGTTAGCAATGTAATGTAATGTAGGAATCACAAAAATTAAGAGACTTAAGTTCAATTTTAATTATCGTCAACACCTTAGATCAGTTAGTGACTCGCTGAATGTGGTAGTAGAGCGGTGTAATCACAAGTCTAAACAAGTCCAAGGGCAACTTGAGACTAACGATGAGCTGACTGATCACAACGCGGTGAGTGGGTATATTTTTGAAGTCTGGGCAGCTCTTGTTTCTCTGAGAGGCAGCTCTTGTTTCTCTGAGAGGCGCAGCTGACAGATATGTCTTGTACAATGTACATTGTACAAGACAGGAACACAAAGCTTAAGTTGCCGCCCTCCGATAGAAGTTTCGGCGAGCTAAAGGCCAACTTTTGTAAATGTGATCATATTATAAGACGTGACCTATCTCTACATATATGTGGGGATCACTGAGACACAATAGATTCGTAGGACCCAACAATTGATTTGGAAGACTTTCAAAAATGTTCTGACTTCTAAACCTTATGTTTATCAGTTCAGTCAAATTATTTTTAACTAATATTTCCAGATGTTACGATCTGACGTAGATATTTTGAAAAGAAAAGTGTCAGATCTTGAAAGTGAGGTTGTTGATTACGAGAAACTGAACGAAGAAAACAACGACGCGTACAAAAACCAAGTTTGCTAACAAAAAAGCAATAACATATTTAGCTGAAGGCTGAAACCATTGACAGAAATTAATGATTAACCTTATGATTCGACATCCACTCTCGAACAACTGGGCGTTTTACAATTCTGTCAAGTAATGTTTGATTCAGGAGTCAGGATCATTTATAAACTTCACCTCAGAAGCAGCTACTCAGGAAAAGAGAGGAAGAACTTCTAGAACTTCGGAGTGAATTCGAAGAAAAAATAGACAGGCAGTCAGAGTCGACAGCTTCAGTTCGAAAGAAAGCAGACCGGTGCTTGAACGAGAGCGAGCAGACGAAGGATCAGCTGAAGAAAATGAAAGATAAATTAGAGAAGGAAAGAGAGACCCATTTTGAGGAGATCCAGAGTCTCGAAATGGAGAAGTAAGAAACCAAAGAACAGATGAATAGATGAATTGAGACGCTTCCCACTACTATTTAAATTCATGGATATCTAGGCTATATAATATATACATTTGTATTTTGAACCTAGTAGTACTTGTACCCGCATGTCACATCTTAAGTTGTAATTATGGGTATGAGATGTGTGTAACCTCAATTAAATTCAGATTATCCCCAGGAACGAACTGATTCAGAAGCTGAGCAGTTCAGATAATCTGCTTAAGAAATCCCGGGAGGAGTACCTGTCCACGGCCAACAACCTGACCTTCACGGAAGCCGACTTCCATGCCCTTCAACTTAAATTCAACAGGTTTATTTGGATTTATCTTTACTTTATAAAGACTCCTAAACTTTATAAAGTTTAGGAGTCTTCAGTGCTGGTTAAACATTGGAAATGATAATTTAATCGTGTAATAATAATTACAAATAAGCGATGACATCTGAATTTTAAAATTATACTCATTAATGTTGTGTCATTAGTGTTCATAACAAATAGTATTCATATTCTTTTGGCTTCGTCGCGTAGTTCATAAAAGAGGATACCGCAGTTTACTCAGTATCCCTGCTAGTGTGTAATACGACCCCAACCAGAGCAGTTTACTCAGTATCCCTGCAAGTGTGTAATACGACCCCAACCAGAGCAGTTTACTCAGTATCCCTGCAAGTGTGTAATACGACCCCAACCAGAGCAGTTTACTCAGTATCCCTGCAAGTGTGTAATACGACCCCAACCAGAGCAGTTTACTCAGTATATCCCTGCAAGTGTGTAATACGACCCCAACCAGAGCAGTTTACTCAGTATCCCTGCAAGTGTGTAATGCGACCCCAACCAGAGCAGTTTACTCAGTATCCCTGCAAGTGTGTAATGCGACCCCAACCAGAGCAGTTTACTCAGTATCCCTGCAAGTGTGTAATGCGACCCCAACCAGAGCAGTTAACTCAGTATCCCTGCAAGTGTGTAATACGACCCCAACCAGAGCAGTTAACTCAGTATCCCTGCAAGTGTGTAATACGACCCCAACCAGAGCAGTTTACTCAGTATCCCTGCAAGTGTGTAATACGACCCCAACCAGAGCAGTTAACTCAGTATCCCTGCAAGTGTGTAATACGACCCCAACCAGAGCAGTTTACTCAGTATCCCTGCAAGTGTGTAATACGACCCCAACCAGAGCAGTTTACTCAGTATCCTTGCAAGTGTGTAATACGACCCCAACCAGAGCAGTTTACTCAGTATCCCTGCAAGTGTGTAATACGACCCCAACCAGAGCAGTTTACTCAGTATCCCTGCAAGTGTGTAATACGACCCCAACCAGAGCAGTTTACTCAGTATCCCTGCAAGTGTGTAATACGACCCCAACCAGAGCAGTTTACTCAGTATCCCTGCAAGTGTGTAATGCGACTCTCCCCTCAGTCTGACCAAGGACCACGCCTCAATCAAGAGTGATCTCCAGAGTCACGAACAGAAAGTTACTACTCTCACTACCGAGAATAAAACCTTGAAGAAAAAGATGGACAATTTAGAGATCGACCATGATACTCTAGTTCAACAAAGAGTTTCGCTCAATAACAGAATTCAAAATCTGCAAAGAGAGATTGAAGATGAGAAGGATAAGGGGTTGAAGAACAACCAAATAATTGAGGTATAACTTAATACAATATACAAAACTCATATTATACAATTGTGATAGTTATGATCTACTTTTTAACCATGATGATGTACTTTCTCACCATGATGATGAATTTCATAACCGACAGGATCTAAAGAGGCAGGCACAGCTGTATCTGAATGATCTGAACCTTTCCAACACACGCTCCACTGAGTTCGCCAAGTCTACTCTGGAAGAAGAGGAAGACTTGCGGAGGAAGTGGCAGAACAGAATGAAGGAATCCGAAGACGAGATTAATCGGTTAACTGCAAAGTTAGTGCTAACTATTTGCCATTCAATTGAAATTTGTGATTCAACATTTTTGTCTAGCTGTGGCCTGGGATATTGAGTTAGAGAGTCCTTGTTGATTATTGAGCCATGCTGTGGTATTTCTGCACAGCCATGTTGCCATAGGTTTAGTCATCTGTATGTTGTGTTTCTTGGCTATACATTCCAAACAATTTCTTTGAGTCTATTATTATAGGTGCGTTGTCGATTACAGTAATAGTCATCAATCCATTAAATTATTTATAAATTTGACAGTCAGTTGGAATGGTACTGTTCAATAGTTGACGAAGGGAACGTTGTGTTTCATCTCGAAAAATAGAGTTGAAAAACACTTCGCCGCGTTTTTTCCGTTTAAGTCTCTCGTAATAAGTCTGTCATCGTAGCAATTTTTCAATTCTCGTGGTGCTGGTAGTAAAGAACGGAACTATCTGTATGACAATAATTCTTTAATAATGAAATTATAATATACCCTTGTATTTGTCCTCCATTAACGAGTGAAGAGGTTGTAATATATTATTATATTATATTCGTTAGGAGCTTGTCAGATTCACTAATTTCAAAATTATATGACTTAACTGTCGATATATTGGACCACATGCTAAGTTTGCCAGCCTAGTACCTGCTAGATTTGCCCTGTTGTTTTGACACCTGTCAGAATACACCCGTGTGATCACGTGACCGCTCACTGATCACGTGACCGCTCACTGATCACGTGACCGCTCACTGATCACGTGACCGGTCACTGGCCCTTATATTACGAAACCTACCCAACCCTACCTCCCATAACTCAGATCAGAAGGAGCACCTTCAACTCCGCACCCGGCAGAACTTGTATAATATCAGAAAACGAGAGGTGTCTCAAAGTGACACCTTATAAACTCGTATAACAGTCGCTACTGCACAAAGTTAGCTACGAAAAGTGTACACCCGGCTTGTAGCGTGTAATACTGGGTATCATCAACAACTCCATTCCCAATTGTCAACACTATTTCCCGAACTCTCGCTCTCTCTCTCTCTCTCTCGCCTGCAAATTGCAAAGAGTTTGCTGGTTTGACTTGAGTCTGTTGTACATATCAAAGTCCACTGCATTTTTTTCGAGTTGTCAGTTGTTCCTGCGTGTAATTTCTTCTGTATTCTGCAATTATATTTCTAATTTGTAGTCTGAGGTGATCCTTTAATGTCTTTTACACCTATTCCCACTACAACTATTGATGCCGATGAGTAAGTTTGAGGAGTGTTTTCACGTTCAATTAAATGAATTTTTTATGAAAGAGTTTCCGATGCCTAATACATGTAATAGCTGAGTTTACATCGATATTTCGGTTGGTTTCGGGGTTCGACTGCATGTGGCACATTTGATTAAAAAATTACCAAGTCTCTGCAAAAATTTGCCCTTCTCTGCAGGAATATAACTTTCCTAATTTTAGATCTATTTCTATCAAATTTCAAAATACATAAATTTGAACCAAATTTCTTGTCCATAGAAGAGTTTTGTCACGAAAAAGACGAAAATATCAAATTTCTTCTTTGGTTTTTCGGCAGTAACACTTAAAGTATCAAATTTCATCATAGAGTCATAGCGTAAGCTGTTACTAAAAATAGCTATTGTGAACGTTTTGTACCTATGAGAAAATCCTCAGAACCTTCCAGACTCATCGCTCATCATATATAAATGACTCATGTTTACATGAATATGTTAAGAGATCGCTATTCAACTCAGTGATTCCTCGTAAGTTGTTAACAAAAGTGGTAAAATTGTTCAGGACCTGTCATACTGTGACAATCGCGGTTATTAAACACACCTTTCGGAGCTTTTGTACGTCTTCCTATTGCATACTGAAGTAAAAGTTTAAGAAATGCGTTAATAGAAACGCCCATAGAAAAATTGTTTTAGAAAGTCGTGTCAATTAGAATGTTCCTTACCATTTTTGGTTCTTAGGACTATGGCGAGTCAATTGCTTAAACAGAAAGTCATCTCGATCACTTTATTTTTTCCTAAATGTCATATCATTAGAAGTAGTTATACTTGTGGCAGTCAACTTGTCAATCAATGGAACTTGTCAACCCATGGAAACGTTTGGGAAACAATTAATCAATAATGATTCCTTTTAATAATGACTTATTCACTCTTTTGTTCAATGCACTAGCATTAGAGAAGAGGGACTATCAAGTTACAACTTATCACTCACAATCTCCTTCCCTTAGATTAAAACTATCAGAAAAGAACAGAGCCGAGCAATGCGCGGATCTGGAGCAGCTTAACTACGACCTCAACAGCACCAACAGAAATATGGTGTCATTGGAGAAAAAGCACAACAACGCTGAGATCATGTTGGAAGAGCATGTCTCACTCGATCAGGAGAACAGAGAGAAGATAGAAACCATGAAGAGGTAAGTTCGGGTAATAGATCATAGCTCTAGATGAGACAATAAGGATTTGACAATAATAAGGAGGAGCCAGGAAACACCTGAGAGTTTAAATTCTTTGCATCCGATTTCGTTGGAATTTTGACAGATCATAATTGCATTTGCAGTTGCGATGGCGGAAAAAGGTTAAATATGCGGTTAGTAATAAGTGTGTTAATTTTCCGACTGACAGAAACCTACTTTTTGAAGCTGCTCGTCTAGAATCATGTTTTGCTAAATTTTGAGCTCTCTCTCTGAGCTTCGTGGCAGCCCAATATACTCACAGCGTTGTCATCACCGCAGTCATGTTTAGTACTCTTATTGTCACTGCTATAGTTGTGAGCTCTGTTACACCTCAAGCCTTTTTTGGCCGCTATTCAGTACATAGCACGATGTATTTTCTGCTTAATTTTTAGATTGTCAGCAAGTGGCCATGAGGAACTGTGAAATGCTATCGCCACCTCCGATGAATTCGGGGAATTCGTAGCAGTGTAGTAGCTTCTTCTGCATACGCGATTTTTAGTTTTCAGTTCACTATACCCTTGGTTGTTCAATAATTATTTTTTCGTAGTTATATTGATTCATGGTCCTGATTACTACTTATGTTATTGTTAAAGGTCATCAAACTTCTCTTTTTATGAGTATCACATATTAAGTTGACGAGAGCTTGTTATCATAGGATACATAAGAGCCTATTAGCTGATGCCCGATATTTTGATCCACGATTAGGTTTCTACTTTTAAGGTTCCACAATGACAGCACAGATCGCTAGCGTACACGCCTTGGAAAGGATATTTATATATTTTTTAACTGAACGCGCCATTTTTAAAACCGCGACCAATACCTCACTTAGTCACTCAACAGGATTTGCTATTAACATGGCTTTAGACATAAAATAGGCAGCAGTGAGCAGCACTACAGATTCTACATCCACACATACCACTTTTAACTTTGGTTTATCCTTTCCATCGAAGTTTAACCAATTGTTATTTTTACCGCTCATTGAAAGTCCACATTTATTTTCGAGCAGTGATTTGTTGCTGATTCTGTATTTTTCTAGTTTGCGTTGTGAGTCCTTCAATGTCTTTTACACCTTTGCCCGTGATAGCTGAAGATGCAGATAAGTAAGTATATGTGTTTTGTTTTTTGCATTTCTCAATCAACAAACCGAATACATTTCGCGAGAGAGTTTTTCCATATATATACAGATTGGGCGACATCTGTCCGACAGCGACATCTGTCCGACAGCTGAATTAGGGATTTCGGACAGATGTCGCTGTCGGATAGGAGTCGTTTTTGGCGACATCTGTCCGAGTTTATATCGAAGTTTTGGCTGGGTTCGACAGCTGCATCCCCGACACCATAACTGCCAGAAACGTTGTGAGTGTGACGACATCCTTATCATTCCCTCATTAAACAGCTTTGGTTACTAGCATCACTTAGGTTTTCTGTTAAACTGCTGAAGCCTGACATTTTGATCAACAAATAGGTGACATCACAAACTGACTGATCAACAAACAACCGACAACACTGGTCTCTGCGCGCTGCAAATATCCCAAACATGTAATTTTAAACTGTACGTGATACATTATAAACCTCACATTCACTTCATCACTCAACACAATTCGTATTGACATGGTTAGTAATAAGAAATTGTGTTGAGTGATGAAATTAAGTGGAGGTATATAAACCATTGTTTACTCCCGGGAAGCCTCTAAACAGTAACCACCCCACACAGGAGGAATGACAGACTACCAGAACCAGATAGGAGCTCTGAAGCAAGAGAAGGAGGTGGACATAAGACAGCAGAGAGATCTTAGGAACAAGATCAAGACTCTTCAGGATAGGGTGGAGGATCTCGAACATGAAGAGGAGTGTTCGGAGAGAAAGACTCAAGAGGTAATGGTACCCGCATCTTAAAAAAACGTTGAATGTGCAAAACCTATAATGTTAATGAAAATGTTGCTTATTAGTTGTTCTTGATCATCCATAATTCGTTATATCGTCGTTAATAATTATGCAATACAGATGGGAAGGCAAGTGATGCGTCTTCAAGAACAATTAGAAATGGCTAATGGTGCAATATCTGAACTCACTGAGGATGTTGAGAAAGCCAACCATAGAGCTGATAAAACACACAAAGACAGTCTCCTTGCTATGGAACAGGTTATATCATGTTAAATCATATTAGTTGTTCAGTTTTGGGACACAATAAATGATTAACTCTAATTACAATTACCTTATTAGAGCTTATAGGTCTAAAAAGAAGAGTACAGCCAACAATTGGTTGAGTCAATTTCCATTATCTACAGAAAACAAACATTCTGGCTGAGAAAGATGACGAGATAGAGATGGTAAAGAAGACATGTCGGGGAACAATAACCCTCCTTAAAAACCAGCTGGAGGCTGCTGAGCAGGAGATCAACAAACTAGTGAGTACAGAATAGAATCTCACTAGTTTGCTGTGCATAATCACATGATCACAATATGTTAAGATGTTGATAAATCCGAAGCTGACTTGAAATCAGTTAATCTAGATATCGGGATTGATTAGAATTAAAATGTTAAAATCTCTAAACTCGAAATTCCACAGATTCTGATTAAGAAAGAATTGGAAGGCGAGATCATGCTACTACAGGATGACTTGGATGAAGCTGAGGCCACTGTAAATGAACTTAACAACGAGATACCTCGCCAGCAGGACATCTTAGAGCAGGTTTGATTGCTTCACCATAATGAGATAATGTTAACTTGACCGAAATACCCTTTCATAGTAGAAATTCATCGCCTCATCGGAAATTTATCACCTCAGCCTATATATGGTGTGGATTGTGGAATGATCAAGTTCCTTAATGGAGAAGTTTGATTTAAAAGATTCTTTGTTCATAAGCCGCATACTTTAAATAGTTCAGATTAAAGTATTCGTAATTTCGTATATCTTTTGCCCATTTAAAGTCATGTAAACATACGACAAAGGTCCGAAATCAGGTCTCTAATCAGTGAACTGACCTCTACAAGTGTCATAGGGCGGAATGAGGTGATTTATCAATTCCTCCCGGGCACACGTACTCATATCAGTCTGTGACAAGGGACCCCTTTATTGTGACATGCAACTACCCAACTGTGACATGTGACTATCCTGTGACGTGTGACTTCCTTACTCGGTGACTCCCTTCCATGTCTAACAACACCCATCCAGTTGTACACATCTAACTGTGATCCACCTAATTCCACAGCTTGCATAGACTAACCGTCTCTTTTGTGGGGTTTCTGTTACTAAAACTGGAGAGAATCAGGGGTCAGATAAGTCTCTGGGGGGCTACGGTCAGTGTTAAACAGGAGATGTAAGTTGGCAAGTGTTGACTGTTGATGTCAAGGTCACTGTGCGTAACCCATCCTACAATCTTCACCTGACACCTCTTAACCGCTTCTTCCCTGTCACACATTGTTTTAAAATGTGATCTCACCCATAACAGTGACTTTACAGTAAAAGTAAGTTAAGAGTTGCAGTGACATTAGTATTAACTCACTAACAAAGTAAAAAGAAAGCTGTGTTTTCGTCTCTAACTCTGATCAGACCTGCAGCTGCTCCATCAACTATCTACCCTAACTTTTCCCTGGTTATCGTATCCTGGCTAGATATAATTCCATTGAGGCCTCTTTCTTAAAGCTTTAAAAAGGGCTAACCAGCAAAAAGCTGACTGATACTCACAGTTCATTGAAACTTCACCAGCACACTATCCACTAACCTCAAAATTAATAAACCCACAGTATAACACTCCCAACTGAAACCTACCTCCCCCTCCAGTTGAACATGAGTCTGGGTGAGGCTACAGCACGTTGTGAAGCGTTACAGGACGCCCTGGTCCGAGCTGACCTCAAGTGTACCCAGCTTTCAACACGGAATGACGAGCTAGAGGACCACGTGAAGCAGGTCAGTAAAATAGTAGTGCTGAGGAAGGGGAGGCTGAGGGAGGGGAGGCCGTGATATTGCAGCCTCTGCAGAGTGAGTATTACACTCCAACCGCTGACAGCCGGCTTATAAGTTAGAGGTGGTTTGGTTTCCTGATGTGTTTGTTGACGTGTTATTGTAGTTGGCTCATTGGACAACCTTATCAATGCTCGTCGTGTTGCCTTTTTCCGTGCAGTATGGCTTTTTTGTAATATTACTTTTAAAGTGATATACAATATATCTGATTTGTTAAAAGCTTATATTCGTTATATTTTTAAGTTGTAACCAGAGTAACCAGTTACAAGCACGAATTATGTCCTTGCCCTAAATAAAAACCTTTGCGCTTATAGTTTGTTATAGTATTTAATAAAGCTTCTCTCTTCTTTTCTTTACAATGTTTAGATGAGAGAAAACCAGGAGTGCAGACAGCACTAAGATATTATCCCTTCAACATACTTCCCTCCTTCTTTCAACACTAAACACACCATATTCCTGTTTAGGGTGAGACACAGAAGCGCCTGACTGATCAAGATAACATCGACCTCCACAACAAGATATCAGAACAGTCAGCCAAGGGAGAAGCTCTGTTGGACACCATCGCTAAAGTGGAGGCTCAGCTGGAGATACAGTCCGGTTTGATGGAGGCGATGGAGGCAGATAAGAGCAACTGGGAGCTAGAGAGACGTAAAATGAGGGAACTGGTCAGTAGCTTTAAACAGCACTTTAAACTGTTATGGGGAGGAATTGTTTATCGGAAATTTTATTTAATCGTTAATAACTTTTATGACGTTTGTGTAGCTTTTTCCCAGCTTCTGTATCAGTTTTGATCCATCCAGTTAAGGATCCTTAAGAATTTAAATGAGCACTTGTTTCAGATCACTACGCTGGAAGCTGATAATCAGCATCTTGAGGAGGTCAGAGTTGGTCTGGAATGTTCCGAAAACAAGATCAAGTCCCGTCTCAGGGTTAGTAAATTTTTGGTATAATACGACCATAAAAACTTAACTTTAAAAGTCATTAAAACTTGTTATCCTTTGCCATTCATTTTTTCGGAAAATTTCTGAAAACGTTCGAAGTGCTATTGGCTCCAAAACAGTAAACACCGATCCACAGGAGGCTATATCAGAACACGATGACGCCATCAAGAGTGTGAAGAACACCCACCGAGCGAGAACACGTGCTCTGGAGAGCAGAGTAGCGGAACTAGAGGGGAACCTGGAAGAGGAGACCGAGAGGAGGACTCATTTAGAGAAGGTGGGGAGAAGTGCTCAGTGCTCCGTTTTTAGAGCTGTGCTCAGTACCTTATCAGCTCTTTTGTGGATGGCCCTATATTAGGGCCATTCGATATTGGGGTTGCTAGTTGTTCCCAGTCCCAATTTAGGATATAATTTTAAAAACAATTTCAATACAGCTGGGGTTTTTTGGGATATTTGTCTGTGGGGTTTTTTATCTGTACAGCTTACTTTGTCTAGTTCGTTCAAATTGCTGTTTAAATGAGCTTCAATAAAACCTAACAACAACTAAAAATTTCATTTAGATAGCAGCTTACTGTCACATTATTTCGGACCAAAAAATCAGATGAATTAAAAAATGGCCAAAGCAAAACTATAAAGCGACTTTCAGCTACTGGCCTTCCATGATTTTGGCCACTCACAGTCTGGTCGGTCCAAAAAGGGTATATAAAGTACTTAAATTTCTTCTTGAGACTGAGAATGTGGGTCAGTCGGTTAATCAAATCATCTGCTTGTCTACAGCTGCTCTGAGGTGTTGAGTTCGAATCCCGGTTGGGCTACAATTTCAAAACTGCAGAGCAGCTGTGATTCACCAAACTACGGTGCACATGATACTGACTCTTATTAATTATTTCTTCTTGTGTCTGACAATTTAAACTTATTTCCATAAATGTTACACTTCGTGTTATTAAGCTTTTTGACTTTCTGCGGAAGTTTAAATAACCATGTTTTGACCTGTAGGGACTGAAACGATTGGAACGACTCCTAAAAGAGTTGGAGATCCAAGCGATGGAAGATACCCAGACGATTGAAAGACAGGTGGATCAGATAGCTAGTGTTAACAACAGAAACAAACAGCTCAAAACTCAGTTCGCTGATGCAGTAAGTGTGAAATGTCATAGAAACTTCTATTATATGGTAAATAGTAGGTCTTCAAGAGACCAGTGATTTTCAGTTAGTGAGTAAAGTTAGTAGGATAGTGATGAAACAGCACGTTAGGGATTGGTCTGTTACTTTGACCAGATCAGTACAGTCACACCTACCTGCACCAATAGACACTGTAAGCTTTACTTATCATATGTTCCTAAAACCAAATATGGCTACAATAACCTATGACCCCACAGGAAGCACGCATTATATCGCTGCAACAGAAACTCCGAAAGTTGACGACTGAGGTTGAGGATAGTGAGGGAAGGAAACGCTACCATGACTAAAATGTTGAGCACACCTGCTAGTCGTTGTACTTCCCGACAATCGGTAGGTCGATTTTGTGGGTGTATGTTTTGAGTATTGAGAAAATGAAATGAACTGCTAGTAAACTTTGTGGGTAGATTAAGAAACAAAAGCATGAAAACTACGGTGGGAACGGGGATCATAATCTACTTCTGACGAGCAGAAATATGATAAAAAGTACATGATGCTTGTTGATTGTAGAAGCATGGTCACTTTCTCAATTTCCAACATATCAAGAGTCCTAAAATTAGTTTGGGTATGTAAGCCGTCTCAAGCAAGAGTGCAAAAATTCTGCAGAAATTAAATTTCTCTGCCGCCTTATAAGTCTTATAAGTGTGATAATGTTTGTCATTGTGTTGAGAGATTTATAGAACTCATGAGCACACTCCCGCTAAGATTTAGGAAACTTTAAACCAACAATGCAATATGCATATTGCTAAGTGCAATGTGCACATTTCCAAAAAACTTAACCAAAAGCTATCGTCACCTCTAAATGGCGCCAAGCTCAGTCAAGTAAGACTACAATCACTATCAACTATGTTAGTACATACTGAGCAAATACTCTTAGTACTTTAACAATTCGTATCAAGCTGGAGAGTGGAGCTGTTTTAAAACTTACCCGGCATCTAGGCAGTGGTCATAGCAAAACCGTGAACCAGGCATTGTGCTCGCTATATTAGTCATGCAACCTCCAAGCCTCACTAATAATGCTTCCTTTATAAACTCAGAAGAAATTTTTTCATGAACAATCTTTAACCACTTGCAAAACATTCACAAAGACTTTTGAATGATCCACAATGCTTATACCCGTGAAATACAGAGAGCCACGTTCCGATCATCCCGGCCGGAGACTGCCATGTCATGGGACATGGAAGGGACGCAGGATCTGAACCAAGTTCTGAACGATAAGCTGTATACAGTATGTTACGTGTCCAAAATAATAGTTAATACATGTTCATTATGATACTAACTCCAGTAATATTCATTACTCGTGGCCATCATGGCGTTATATGGCTTGACTAACATCGTTTTGAATCATACGATTTTGAGACCAGATTCTCCTAGGAATCTTATCAAGACTAGGAAATATTATGTTTTGATTCAATTTCATGTCAGCCATCAAATTATCTTTTTAAATAATGTTGGTTTAATTGTAAGCAAATAATTCGTATTTCACACTGTTTATTAGCGTGATTAAAATACATTTAATCAGATATTCAGATGTGCAGTGGATATCACTCCACATCTTATATTTAAATCTAAGAGGGCATCTTTAAGTTCATGTTTGAGTGTTCATCAATTGTTTATCAGACTGATAGGCTACTTATGTGTGTTGTGATACTTCCCGATATATAACAAGAGGTCCACGCAGGTCAAAATAAACTGAGAAGCATTTTTAAGTCACATGACAGTATGCTGTCAAATTTCAATCCGCATGATTTATATTTACAACGTACCATGTACTATAACAGTAACAGTGTTACTAACACTACCAACAGTGTTACTAACACTACCAACTTTCACACTCCGCACGTACAGAACGAAATACTGTATTGATTCTGTACAACGGGCCATCTCACTTTCGATCACTATCTGTTCCGATTAAAACTGTTGGTAAATCAACCTATCAATCTATGTACTTTAATCAAACTTTCAAATGTCAATTAATCGATCTGACTAGATCTCCCAATATCAGTCAATTAACCAATGCATAAATTTGACGTGACAGTGACACGAATACTCGTTTCTGAGGTCACGTGATCATAGAGCACGCACTCTCTCTCTAACATAGAGCACGCACTCTCTCTCTCTAACACCTCTTCTCCCGCAGCAAATGATGAGGAACAGTGTTATGGGAAGCAGGTCCGTAAGTAGACTGATCAGCCCGGAGGTAGAGTCAATCATGATGTCTGGTCGAAACAGCCCGGTTGGACCCCTGTCCATCCTCTCCGGACGAAACAGTCCAGCTTCCCAAAGAGCTGCATCTCCTGCTGGGAGCATCAGAAACTTCCAGTTTGAGGACAACTTGTTGACCAAGGATTATGAGATTGAAGGCGAGAGTAAAACAGAAAGTGAAAGTAAGCCTGAATGCGAAAATAAGGATGTCGACGAGAGTAAATCAGATGAGGCAAAGCCGATTGTGTCACCAGAGGATAAAGTTCCAGAAGTTATTTTGACAGAGGAAGATGTGAAGAAACCAGTAGATTTTGCAAAAGAAGAGGGATGTCAAGTGATTGGTGAGAAGGCACTATGGGAGAAGGAAATTATTGTACCAGAGAATGATCAAGAAAATGCACCAAAAGCAGTAAATGGGCACTAAATTTACAAGCACTTTCAATGGACCGGGAAAAATTGAATGGGGACTTTCAAAATGGCGGAGGGGAAATTATTATTTGATAATGATAGTAATAGTATGATTATGAATATTTTACAATGGTTTTATTTAAAACTATTTATTATTTGAATTTTAGGGATCAGACTAGACGACAAGATATGGACAAATATTTACAATCTAGATTAATTAGACGAAGGCACCCAGTGACTATGATTTGGTAATAATTTTTGTGAATGAGATTGCGATTTTTTCTGTATTTGAGTTATGAATTTGAATGAAGAATATTTTATATTTCTCAACGCTTACTTTCATTTTGTCATATGTAAAAAATAATTGAAACAAGTATCTGAATTTTCTGCAAATATTAGTTAAGATCACAAGTCCGAAATTTTTGTAACAACGCGGGAAAGTCTCAACGTACAAAATAATCGACAGAAAGTGAGGTCATCACATTTTCGTCGTTAAAATTAAAATTAACAGTTACGGTTGAGACTTTCCCGAAATGAGCATCAAACTCCCAAAATAGAGCTGATGCCTACAATGCCAGACAATTCATCGCACTACGTTCACTGGTCGTACTACTTTCGCTGCCCGTACTAAAGCTTCCACTGGTAACGGGAACCGCAGATATTTATTTCCGGGGGTGAAAATTTACCGAATACTAAATCATCATTAATTGTCAGATAGATTGAACTTAATTGGCCATCTTTTCACTTTTCATGTTATGCACAATCAGAAGTGAAAGAACCTCCGGAAATGAAATCGCCGCGGCCTTTTTCTGTTCAGTGGTGACGTCAAAATATGTATTACCAACATATCAAAGTAAAAAATCGGTATTTTCGGTTGACTTCGCCTCTATCATACATTTAAAGCATTTCAAGGCTTAAATTCAAACAAAAATCTCAACTACAAACCCCGTAATATAATTAAACCAATTTAAAAATTAAATCAAGCGGATTATCGAAACCCTGTCCACCTCTTAACCGGATAATATCATACTATATGATAAATATTATGATCTTAAACGTGCTGAATTTTTATTAAATCGCAAAGATATCACACAATGTGTAATTCACGCAAGTACCAAGGGTACAGAGTCTTTCTGAGATGAAATATATATACAATAGTCACATCTGGGAATTTTGTGATTTTACAAACTAGCATGCTTCAAAATGGCTGGAAATCTGATATTCCAACTGACAGGGTATCGGACAATCGAAATGTCTTATCAGACCAAATATTAAAATCACGCTGAGTAAAATAAAAAAAGTTGTATAATAGGTTCCCAAGGCTAGCGAAATAAGCTGTTTTATTTCAATCAAACCTTTTTCAAATAAAATCTCAGATAACTGAATAACCGGCAACGGCACATAAAGTCTATGTCAATTATCGATATTTATAGCGTACAAAAATTAGTTTCATGACCGAACAAAAACAGTTTACATTTACATAACCACAGACATTAAATAATATTTGACTTGATCAAGCTTAGTCTTGATCAAACCAGTATTTTATTGTAAAAACATGTCATATGACATATTGATAAATTGAAAGGATTAAGGTTAATCGAGGATGAACCTTTCAAGATCGCCTCAACGCATAGTTGAGGATTCTTTGCATGGCAAGCTGGTGATAATTTCTTGAATAGTGAAAGAAACCTCTTTTTTAACTCATTTCACGATACACTCATATATTTATCGTTACATAAGAGTCGGTTACGATTACAAATTTTAATGAGACCCTCAGCAACAAAAATGGGAAAAGATCAAGTCATGAATTTAATGGGACTTTGTTGTTAATTTGACTGGGTCAGAAATTTTGTGATGAAGAATATTATAACTGCCAAAATAATGAATGGATTTATATTTCTCTCGCATTGTACCAAAGGGAAAAATCTAATTAAATCTTCTATCCATATTTGCTGAGGGGGTCCCAAAGATAATTACAACAGTAAAAACGATTAAAAAGGTCAAGTTTAATTTGCTAACTGGACCAAGACTTTAAATTGACTGACTGAAAATTTCTTGATTACATCAGTTCTCAATCCCACACATTACACGTGCAGCTACACAAAGTTAACTGCTGCGAAAACGACACAGATCGAAACACAACATAACGAGCAACCCACAATCCACATAATATAATCAAAGAGACAAAATCACATTTCATTGTTCGTAACTAAAAGTATAATATCTATAAAGGATTATCATTCTTTATTTCGAGAGAGCACTGCAATGAAGATCATCGTATAAATCGTGCCACTTAACTTACCACGTAGAACGTGAATATAATTGTCGGTGTTGTTGTCTATTGTAAAGTTGCGCAGTCACTGCATACCACAATCGATGCCCGGGAGAGGTGCGGTTCTTGCAACTGAATTAAACTGGACATCTTACTATATATAAAGCGAGACGATATATATATATATATCTGTGCCATTTTACTGACACCACGGCATCGACTTTAACGCAACTTTCTGCAAAAACCGTAAAAGATATACAACTGAAACTTTTTTGGCTGGGTCAAATGCTTTAATATCCTCCAAATCAGCATGAAAAAATAAAAAATTGGCCGAGGAATAATGATTTTAGAGCCGAAAATTTGGACCCCCAAGTGGTGTCAAAAACGCCAATTAAATAGGTAATAATTATTTCAGTATCTTGAGTCTTGACACCGTTTAGGGCTATATTTCACGGGTTCCTGCTAGTTTATTCTAAAGCACACTTGCACTGGGCACCAATATTCACGTTTTGACAAAATATTCGACAACACCACAGATACAATTTAACTCTGTGGTCAAAATATTCAAATATAACGGGACAGATAGTCTCATGCCCATATTCTATGGATACCACGTGACATGACGTCACCCCACGTGACCGGACATCTTGTCACGTGTCGTGAAGATAACTGCTGACCACAGATTTAACTTACTATCACTGAACCCAACATAACACCACCTCTAAGAAAAAACATATTTTCTTCATCCTTGTTAATCAGTTTTCGTTCTTGATTACTGAACTTAAATTTAATCGATATTTGTTTTGATGTATCAAATCCAGAAAGAGAAACCAAACCTTCCAATGTAACTTATAATGAATAAAAATGGTGGATTCGGTTTTGTTTACAGTATTTACGAGCTTTGGTCACGTGACAGGCTAGTGAAAATTTTCAGAAAATGTGTTATTGGACCAGTTTGGGGAGCAGCCTAGGGCGCTTTATATATTCTTGCCCATCATCGGCTGCTGCCCCGGTCCCCGAGACTTCATTTTACTTTCGTCTGGTTTCCACTCTCTGTTCAAACCAAGTTACTAGCTAGGTAACATGATAATCGAGACAGTTTTCAACGTAACAACGATTTCTGATGGTTCGGACAGACCTCCCTTCTCACCCATCTGAAAGGCAAACCAGTGCACTACCAACTATGCGACCTCACACTTGGATGCTTCCATCAAGCAAAAGTTACCTTTATACCAACATTGTTTACAAGAAATTTACTTGCACGGCTATACCCTGCAAGCGATACTCCGAGAGCTAGCTCCACCCGTTAATTGTGCCTTATATGGCGAGTAATTAGCTGTGCAAATATCACGTGCTAGATGCAGCCAGCAAGAGATACCCTGCAAGCGATAGACCGAGAGCTAGCTCAACAGTCCCCCTGTTAATTATGCCTTATATGGTGCGTAATTGGCTGTGCAAATGTCACGTGCTATATGCCGCCACTAAGCGCGCTCAATCGCTACCTCGTGATCCTCACGTGACCGATTACACACCGATCTCGGTGTGTGACGGAAACTAGGAAAAAGCTAGTTTGAGCATGAAATAAGCAAAACACCTCTCATTCTGCAGTTGAATTTGATTAATATCTCCAACCTCCTCTCGGCGGTGGAACAGAATTAGTCAATTCCTGTGTGCATTTTCTCCCAGGAGAAGTGCACGCTGCACATGTTTTGGCGAGCTTTCCTTTATAGGAGGACTCTAATGAAAGTAAAGTTACTTTAGAGGAATTTTGATGTGGGAATTAGTCCGACTAAAAAGTCACCAAGTGCAATGAAACAGACGAAAACAGTATTAAAAAAAGCGATTGTCTTGTTGCTATATCTCACGGCTGCTGTTCACATTGCTATTGCATGTTAGACCGCACTTCCCTTATAACATTATCATTGTTATTAGAACAGAAATTAATAGTACATGTACTATAACAGTAACACTACCAACTTTCACACTCCGCACGTACAGAACGAAATACTGTATTGATTCTGTACAACGGGCCATCTCACTTTCGATCACTATCTGTTCCGATTAAAACTGTTGGTAAATCAACCTATCAATCTATGTACTTTAATCAAACTTTCAAATGTTAATTAATCGATCTGACTAGATCTCTCAATATCAGTCAATTAACCAATGCATAAATTTGACGCGACAGTGACACGAATACTCGTTTCTGAGGTCACGTGAACATAGAGCACGCACTCTCTCTCTAACACCTCTTCTTCCGCAGCAAATGATGAGGAACAGTGTTATGGGAAGCAGGTCCGTAAGTAGACTGATCAGCCCGGAGGTAGAGACAATCATGATGTCTGGTCGAAACAGCCCGGTTGGACCCCTGTCCATCCTCTCCGGACGAAACAGTCCAGCTTCCCAAAGAGCTGCATCTCCTGCTGGGAGCATCAGAAACTTCCAGTTTGAGGACAACTTGTTGACCAAGGATTATGAGATTGAAGGCGAGAGTAAAACAGAAAGTGAAAGTAAGCCTGAATGCGAAAATAAGGATGTCGACGAGAGTAAATCAGATGAGGCAAAGCCGATTGTGTCACCAGAGGATAAAGTTCCAGAAGTTGTTTTGACAGAGGAAGATGTGAAGAAACCAGTAGATTTTGCAAAAGAAGAGGGATGTCAAGTGATTGGTGAGAAGGCACTATGGGAGAAGGAAATTATTGTACCAGAGAATGACCAAGAAAATGCACCAAAAGCAGTAAATGGGCACTAAATTTACAAGCACTTTCAATGGACCGGGAAAAATTGAGTGGGGACTTTCAAAATGGCGGAGGGGAAATTATTATTTGATAATGATAGTAATAGTATGATTATGAATATTTTACAATGGTTTTATTTAAAACTATTTATTATTTGAATTTTAGGGATCAGACTAGACGACAAGATATGGACAAATATTTACAATCTAGATTAATTAGACGAAGGCACCCAGTGACTATGATTTGGTAATAATTTTTGTGAATGAGATTGCGATTTTTTCTGTATTTGAGTTATGAATTTGAATGAAGAATATTTTATATTTCTCAACGCTTACTTTCATTTTGTCATATGTAAAAAATAATTGAAACAAGTATCTGAATTTTCTGCAAATATTAGTTAAGATCACAAGTCCGAAATTTTTGTAACAACGCGGGAAAGTCTCAACGTACAAAATAATCGACAGAAAGTGAGGTCATCACATTTTCGTCGTTAAAATTAAAATTAACAGTTACGGTTGAGACTTTCCCGAAATGAGCATCAAACTCCCAAAATAGAGCTGATGCCTACAATGCCAGACAATTCATCGCACTACGTTCACTGGTCGTACTACTTTCGCTGCCCGTACTAAAGCTTCCACTGGTAACGGGAACCGCAGATATTTATTTCCGGGGGTGAAAATTTACCGAATACTAAATCATCATTAATTGTCAGATAGATTGAACTTAATTGGCCATCTTTTCACTTTTCATGTTATGCACAATCAGAAGTGAAAGAACCTCCGGAAATGAAATCGCCGCGGCCTTTTTCTGTTCAGTGGTGACGTCAAAATATGTATTACCAACATATCAAAGTAAAAAATCGGTATTTTCGGTTGACTTCGCCTCTATCATACATTTAAAGCATTTCAAGGCTTAAATTCAAACAAAAATCTCAACTACAAACCCCGTAATATAATTAAACCAATTTAAAAATTAAATCAAGCGGATTATCGAAACCCTGTCCACCTCTTAACCGGATAATATCATACTATATGATAAATATTATGATCTTAAACGTGCTGAATTTTTATTAAATCGCAAAGATATCACACAATGTGTAATTCACGCAAGTACCAAGGGTACAGAGTCTTTCTGAGATGAAATATATATACAATAGTCACATCTGGGAATTTTGTGATTTTACAAACTAGCATGCTTCAAAATGGCTGGAAATCTGATATTCCAACTGACAGGGTATCGGACAATCGAAATGTCTTATCAGACCAAATATTAAAATCACGCTGAGTAAAATAAAAAAAAGTTGTATAATAGGTTCCCAAGGCTAGCGAAATAAGCTGTTTTATTTCAATCAAACCTTTTTCAAATAAAATCTCAGATAACTGAATAACCGGAAACGGCACATAAAGTCTATGTCAATTATCGATATTTATAGCGTACAAAAATTAGTTTCATGACCGAACAAAAACAGTTTACATTTACATAACCACAGACATTAAATAATATTTGACTTGATCAAGCTTAGTCTTGATCAAATCAGTATTTTATTGTAAAAACATGTCATATGACATATTGATAAATTGAAAGGATTAAGGTTAATCGAGGATGAACCTTTCAAGATCGCCTCAACGCTTAGTTGAGGATTCTTTGCATGGCAAGCTGGTGATAATTTCTTGAACAGTGAAAGAAACCTCTTATAAGCGCGTTTAACTCATTTCACGATACACTCATATATTTATCGTTACATAAGAGTCGGTTACGATTACAAATTTTAATGAGACCCCCAGCAACAAAAATGGGAAAAGATCAAGTCATGAATTTAATGGGACTTTGTTGTTAATTTGACTGGGTCAGAAATTTTGTGATGAAGAATATTATAACTGCCAAAATAATGAATGGATTTATATTTCTCTCGCATTGTGCCAAAGGGAAAAATCTAATTAAATCTTCTATCCATATTTGCTGAGGGGGTCCCAAAGATAATTACAACAGTAAAAACGATTAAAAAGGTCAAGTTTAATTTGCTAACTGGACCAAGACTTTAAATTGACTGACTGAAATTTTCTTGATTACATCAGTTCTCAATCCCACACATTACACGTGCAGCTACACAAAGTTAACTGCTGCGAAAACGACACAGATCGAAACACAACATAACGAGCAACCCACAATCCACATCATATAATCAAAGAGACAAAATCACATTTCATTGTTCGTAACTAAAAGTATAATATCTATAAAGGATTATCATTCTTTATTTCGAGAGAGCACTGCAATGAAGATCATCGTATAAATCGTGCGACTTGACTTAACACGTAGAACGTGAATATAACTGTCGGTGTTGAATTGTCTATTGTAAAGTTGCGCAGTCACTGCATACCACAATCGATGCCCGGGAGAGGTGCGGTTCTTGCAACTGAATTAAACTGAACATTTATTCTAAAGCACACTTGCACTGGGCACCAATATTCACGTTTTGACAAAATATTCGACAACACCACAGATACAATTTAACTCTGTGGTCAAAATATTCAAATATAACGGGACAGATAGTCTCATGCCCATATTCTATGGATACCACGTGACATGACGTCACCCCACGTGACCGGACATCTTGTCACGTGTCGTGAAGATAACTGCTGACCACAGATTTAACTTACTATCACTGAACCCAACATAACACCACCTCTAAGAAAAAACATATTTTCTTTATCTCTTTTTCTCTTCAAAACGTATCACTACTCATTTACCCCTCACGTGAAATACCAAACTTATGTGAGTTAGACTTCTTTAATGTATCTCCGTAGAAGGCATTCAGTATGAACTTAAGGCTTTGAGAGCGAAGCAGTACTCGGCTTGGAACCTGGCCTCCATGATGATCAGGCAAAAGTGGACCTGCGGATATTTATCATTAAATTGCAATTTGAAAGCCGATTTGTTAAATAGATGAGTCATTTTCACAGCACTACACGTCGAATCAGAGCATTTTTCGGATTTGAAAAACAATTATGACGCACTTCATACTGAGAAACTTTGTGGATCCATGAGACGTACCTTTTCAGAATGAGTGAACCCACGTTTGGACTCCCAATTGTTAAAAATGTCCTCCTTAAGTTGCTCTGGCACGCATGTGGTGCAAAAAATATAGTCTCTGAAACCAGGGGGAAGGAGCTCTGAGATCATACTGTAATCCACGTTGTAGTAATAGATGCCCCAGAGTCTGTGGACGTAGTACCACACGGAACTTCGAAGTTTTGACGTGTCAATGTTCTCCTTGCCGCCCATTCTGAGAGACGAAATACGTCAATTCATATTCGAATTCAAAACAACATTTGACATCAAAAGCAGCGGCAGAAAAGCAAAAAATCTCCAGATTAGTTTAAATATTACTGAGATAGAGGTGTTCTCCTTCCCTCAGTATAATGTTCGGAAACAAAATACTCACGTGTGATAGGTTAGTTCTTGGATGATCTCGAACTTTCTGTTCAGGATATCAGCCAAAACTTCGTCTAAGTTCCTACAGCAGGGATATCCCATTTCTTCCCAATCTAACTCCTGTGGTTATATAAGTTAGATTCCAGCCACTCTCACTTTTAACCGTACATTATATCTGTAACCATCGGAGGAAATGATTACCAAGGTTAAGTTACATTTTTAAATTTGCAGGAAAAAAATAATCAATCGAAGTTGTAAGATTACTGATCTGATAACACAATGAACAGTTATCGTGTTAGTACAGACAAATCCGTCTGAAAAAATCGATCTGCTGACACACGAAGCTTTCAGAGGATTTTTGACGTTTTTGAGTCCCATTAGGTGCCCTTTATGGCTGACCAACTTTTCCAAACTTTTCCACTTGTCTTAAGGCCACTTTTTGCCACTTTACCACTTTTTACCACCTTTCTTGTTTTTCGAATATCTTTAGTTGTGAACATCGTAAAAGGTTGCGGATCAATCGAGTGTGTTCATATTATCAGGAAGAAAAACGTTTGTTCAAACAATTTTTACGTCAGATAATAAGTTAATTGGATAATTATCAATTAACTAATTAGCAAAATTCTAAAAAATTTTTATTGGCTCAAAATGATCGGAATAGCTTGAAACACGGAGAAAAGTATTTTTTAGAAAAACTTTGAAAATTGTTCACTTACATTTTTTTTCGAGACTTGGAAAAAATTTCGAAAATTCAAAATATTTTTTCCGCCAAAAGTGATCAAACCGCATGAAACACGGAGAAAAATGCCTTTCAAAAAAACTTAATACTTAAATCGCCAATATTTGTAGTTGGAGTTCAGTAAATCTCGGCAGATTTTAGTAAACAGGAATTACTAAGTGAAGAGGTCTGAAACTGAAAAACGTTAACCATACGATCGCGCGGCGATATAAGAGTTTCATAAACTAATTTTCACAGAAACTGCACCAATGGCACAGTCAAGATCGAAACGATAGCCTGCTGTACTGTCATTTTATTGATTTCAATGATGAATCAGTGGGGTTAAGATAATCACATTTGTAATAAATAAACATCTCTGTACCGTCAATTGTGCTAATCTAAACCAGCCTACCTGTATTACCAGACCTCTTCTTTTCCTCGACAATCAAACCAAGTTGTTCATATCGCATTTGGTGGGTGATGTAAGTAGTAATACATATCGAGCTGTATTCAATCACAATACGACACAATGCAATACGTGTATATTATATTATGGCCCTTAATGAGGTATATGAAACGTTCTATACCGTACACTTCTCGTTACTCCAGTGAGAGGCCCAGTATGGAGAGGTTTAACAGTTTAGCACGAAAACGTCTGCTTGGCCTCATGGCTCTTTGACAGCTCAAAGAAGGCGAGAAAAGACCAGAAAGCTTAAATTTTCAACTCCACATTAATCCTGAGCTGATCATCATGGCCCCGAATATCCTACGGGAAGAACCTGTATTTTTACCTCACGACGTCCGGATTTCAAATCAACACCCTCAATAACATTAACAATCCTTCCTGATCAGGATCTGTCTCTATTAGCAATTTCCAAAATATCCTGACTCTCGTGGGACATTTCACTGAATTAATTATTACTGGTTTTTTATTACCCCTTGCCCGTCATTCGTATCTACATCTTACCCTTGCCAGTATGTTACCCTTGCTGATTTTACGTTTAGCCGACCCTGACATATGGGGGTGATTTGAGGTAACCACCGATCCAGCATAGTAAATGAAGCGGTATGCAGAACAATACAAAACAAGTCACAGTTGATGTTGGAAGGTGTATTTACACTTGCTTCCTGGACCTGGCTGTTCCTTAGTTTCCCTGATCTGTTCTTGCCTTCTTCAAACTGTAAATGAGCCATGAGGCCAAGTATACGTTTTCGTGATAAACTTTAAAACGTCTCTATACCGGGTTTCTCACGGTATAAAGTAATAAAGCGTTACATAAACCTCATTAGTCATTAAGAGCCATATAATATACACGTATTGTGTCGTAGTCTGATTGAATACAGCTCGATATGTATTAGTTTCAATACTTTCAACACTATACTATATAACAAATAATTTTAATGACAGGATGGATTACTGAGGGCACTGTGTTAAGGTGATTTAAGTGGGTCCCAATTCCCACCGACCATTCTTCTTTGTGTTATGAATACTTGCTTCATCATCTCCTTTTAATAAAAATCACGGTGTCTTTATTGACTAAGCGCATTACTACTTACATCACCCACCAAATGCGATATGAACAACTTTGTTTGATTGTCGAGGAAAAGAAGAGGTCTGGTAATACAGGTAGGCTGGTTTAGATTAGCACAATTGACGGTACAGAGATGTTTATTTATTACAAATGTGATTATCTTAACCCCATTGATTCATCATTGAAATCAATAAAATGACAGTACAGCAGGCTATCGTTTCGATCTTGACTGTGCCATTGGTGCAGTTTCTGTGAAAATTAGTTTATGAAACTCTTATATCGCCGCGCGATCGTATGGTTAACGTTTTTCAGTTTCAGACCTCTTCACTTAGTAATTCCTGATTACTAAAATCTGCCGAGATTTACTGAACTCCAACTACAAATATTGGCGATTTAAGTATTCTTGAAACGAAAAATTCACTAAGTTTTTTTGAAAGGCATTTTTCTCCGTGTTTCATGCGGTTTGATCACATTTGGCGGAAAAAATATTTTGAATTTTCGAAATTTTTTTAAAGTCTCGAAAAAAAATGTAAGTGAAACATTTTCAAAATTTTTCTAAAAAATACTTTTCTTCGTGTTTCAAGTTATTCCGATCATTTTAAGCCAATAAAAAATTTTTAGAATTTTGCTAATTAGTTAATTGATAATTATCCAATTAACTTATTATCTGACGTAAAAATTGTTTGCTCAAAAGTTTTTCTTCCTGATAATATGAACACACTCGATTGATCCGCAACCTTTTACGATGTTCACAACTAAAGATATTCGACAAACAAGAAAGGTGGTAAAAAGTGGTAAAGTGGCAAAAAGTGGCCTTAAGACAAGTGGAAAAGTTTGGAAAAGTTGGTCCGCCATAAAGGGCACCTAATGGGACTCAAAAACGTCAAAAATCCTCTGAAAGCTTCGTGTGTCAGCAGATCGATTTTTTCAGACGGATTTGTCTGTACTATGTCTGATTTAATAAAAGTGCAGTTATCGCCGCAAAATCTATAGAATTTACGAAATTTTATTTATTCTTTTAACAAAAAAGTTTAAGAGTCACTATAAACGTGTGCACATACAGATTGGCGGTAAAATTAATTTCCTCTCAGATTGGTGGTAAAATTAATTTCCTCCATGATAATTCACCGTCTAACGACGCACATCACGTACGTCGCTCGCTCGCGTCTATATACACGCGTGGTGCGCGAAATATTTGACACTTTCATCAATATTGGGTCTTCGCCGCGTATGTATAATGGGCACAAAAATAGGGACTTTCCACTAATTTGCTCCAAATTGCAAATTGCAAGGCCGAAAATATCAAGCGTTTTAGGCAATTATATAAAATTTCTCCTAAATTCTAAAATACGATTTTCTTTCTAAATAGTTAGATGGGACATACTAGTTTGGATTAATTACATTATAATACATTTGAGATATCACTTGAAACACAAGAAATGTAGGTTTCATACTGTCATATAAAATCCGGATTGGAGTATTATTTATGAGTCGCATGGTTGCAATGTATTCTGTGTAAAATTATATTTATCCCGGTTCATGCTACAAGTAAAAATGCTCTTATTAGGGAAAAGGAGTTCACTCGACGTTTCAATGTAACTACATCGTATTCATGATCTCAAATTATTTGTTATATAGTAGTGTTGAAAGTATTACTAACTATAACAAGACAGAGAGCAAAACATGATCACCATCTCTTAGGAACTCTTAGGAACACTTAGGAACTCCAAAAGTTGACTACGCAAAAGGGATTTTTATTGACATTTCCTGCCTCCAGGATGTAAAAATGGTTAATCCGAAGACATGTCACATCGTGGTTCGAGAGTCGGATCTGTAACTATGCTCGTATAGTTTAATCATTTTTAGTCTGCATACGGTCGTTTCATTGTTTCCTCAATTTCATTGAAATTGTTGAAGGATTAAGAAAATATTCTCTTGAAGTATGTGTTTTTTCAAATGAACGCTCCGATTGGAAAACTGTACTTCAACCAACTCATGAGTTAATATCCGTCTTTTCTACTTTTCTAGACATATTTTCTAGACATATTTTCTAGACATCTTTTCTAGACATCTTTTCTGGATTGGCACTTTTTGAAAGAGAACTGATTAGTCCAGTAGAAGAGACCTATTCAGTCAAGAATATAATAATAAGAGTATTTGAACAGAGAAATAGAGATAAATTCTTGGAAATGATTATGTCTAAGATCATCGGTTTGTAAAGGTCTGAGGAGGTAATCATGGGTAGAAAAACCTTAACCTTAATGTTGTCTGCAGTCTGCACACTAAACGTTTCTCATGGCATGGATGTAATAACTTGTTTTAAGCCCCCAATGGGGTTCAGACTCTAGGTCTTGAGACTCTAACTTCTAAGAGCTGCACCCTACTTTACAGGATCTAGGACGTGGAGACGTTAAACAAGACTATAGAGCTATAGAGCGGCGACAAAACATTCTCATATTTTCGATTGATATTGATAAATAAGGGTGAGTTACAAGAGTTTAAAAATAGGATTTTTGAATTACAATAATAATTTTAGGTATGGAACCATCTTGTTTTGGCTTATCGTCGTTTGAATATCGGAACCAAATTTGGAGAAAGTTTTTGGTAGTCCCCCGGCCCGGATGATATTGTTGTTTTTAGTCTGTTAATACCATAATAATCGGCTGTATCTCTGGTTAGGATCGACGTTTTTAATGCAATAAAAGCTTACTATCAAAATGTAATACTATTGGCTTTCTCCCCGTGACCACATGTTTCCTAGAAATCTTACAAAATAATTCTACAAACCTCCCCAAAAACGCGGTCTTGTTTTGCTTGACTCTGGTTACCGTGCACCATTTCTATTTTCTCGTACTCCATTTCAGGGTCGATCATATAGTGAGATAACGCGCTTGTTTTCCTTCGTGATCCCCCAGAACTCGTGGCTTGCTGCTCCTGAAACGTAACGGCATGTTAGCAGGTATTTTTTGTATATCAATTATGTCAAATAATTAAACCTACACTGTGAATGTGCTTGAGAGGAGCAGATTTTGGCAGTTACCGGATATTTCATACAGCTTAAATGTTGGCATGTATTTAGTAAAATCAGAGACATTCAATTAGCACATCCAATTTTTCATGACACATTTTTAACTGGTTTATTTATAATTTACATCAGTTAATTATCTCTTTTCGAGCCATTGGCTTGGCTGGTGTCTTGGCCTTAAAATTATAAAACAGGAACGAAATATTCTGACTAATTTTTCCAAGGTGCTTAATTTTACCTCCTTGAATACCTGGTATTGCACTAAGCTAGTAGATCATAAATCATTACACCAATAACCTTCACACTTGCGGATCTGTTTTCAAATCCACGCCCATCATTATACTTGAAATAACTGTGATTTAATAGACGTCATATACCACGGATGTCTACTCAGTGTTAAACACATTGCTGAATGTTGTGTTAGTAATATGAGCGGTAGTGGCAGTACCATTTCAAATAATCGGCGTGACTGACTGGATCAAAGAGAGACAGAGCGGGAGAGAGAGACGATATAAAGATCATATAATTGGTCAACTCATTGTGATAAAACATATGGTTCCCAGACCACCTCGTACGGCGCTAATTCCCCAACAAGTATCATTATATACTTTACTATCTAACAGTAAACAGACAACACATACCGAGATGGTGTTTCAACAAGTTCATTTAACATTCCTCAACATGTTGTGTGACGAAACTTAAACTTCTTTTGTTTGACAGACTAATTAGAAACATCTCAACTCTCAAGTATTTATTTTTAGATAATTGAGTTTGGTAAGGCAGATAATGTGTCAGTCATGTCGGAGTGGTCGACTCTCGTGCTGTTCTACCCACAGGGTTGGACACGACAACATAATATAACCATTATCTAGTTTCTTATCACAAATTGATTCATGGCTTTGTGTGTCCAGTAAAACCAAGGAGTATGGCGGGTCATTCAGTAAAAATATACAGAACCGCGTAATATATTATGTTTAACTTATTGAATTATTCAATTTCATTGATAATACGGAGTTTGGGAAGGGTCTTATCTTAGTTTTACATGTATTTTCGTATTATGCCAGTGTGATTAGCACTCTGTCATGACCCCTGAAAAGCTAATTTTTCCCCTTTTTAACGTCACAGAATAAACCGTAAATATCTAATTTCCTCTTTTTTGCGTCAGAGAAAAAAACAAGTTATCACCGCTCTAATTACAGTGTGTATAAATGCGGGGTAACTTTTTTAAGAGATAAAAACTCTTCAATTGTAGCCAGTTTATCACACATATTCATAAACCTGTTATGAAAAGTCGCAGAGCGGGATATGTTGCTGCTGGGGTAAAATTCAGTTGTTATTGGGAAACCTAATAATTCCCTGCCGGTGACCGATTACAACAAAAAGAGTGTACTTTACAATGTGTCAACACTCTCGATTAAACCAAGAGGCCCTAACACATGTCTAAAAATAGACTTCTTTCCGTCCCGACGGTGTGATAGAGACAAATTTCTTAAGTTGCCTGATTACCGGAAAGTTTCTAGGTGACTGTGGTAGAGTGAGAGGACGAGGGAAGGACGGACAGACGGACGGACGGCGGGAGGAAGGGACGTATGTAGAAAAGAAGAAGGGATGGGATGAGGGAGACGGAGAGAGGGATAAGGAAAGGGCAGGGGAGAAAGAGAGGAAGGAAGGAAGGAAGGAAGGAAGGAAGGAAGGAAGGAAGGAAGGAAGGAAGGAAGGAAGGAAGGAAGGAAGGAAGGAAGGAAGGAAGGAAGGAAGGAAGGAAGGAAGGAAGGAAGGAAGGAAGGAGGGAAGGAAGGAAGGAAGGAAGGAAGGAAGGAAGGAGGAGGGAGGGAGGGAGGGAGGGAGGGAGGGAGGGAGGGAGGGAGGGAGGGAGGTAGGGAGGGAGGGAGGGAGGGAGGGAGGGAGGGAGGAAGGGAGGGAGGGGGGAAGGAAGGAAGGGAGGGACGGAGGGAGGAAGGGAGGGACGGAGGGACGGAGGGACGGAGGGACGGAGGGACGGAGGGACGGAGGGAGGGAGGGAGGGAGGGAGGGAGGGAGGGAGGAGGGAGGTAGGGAGGGAGGGAGGGAGGGAGGGAGGGAGGGAGGGAGGGAGTGAGGGAGGGAGGGAGGGAGGGAGGGAGGGAGGGAGGGAGGGAGGGAGGGAGGGAGGGAGGGAGGGAGGGAGGGAGGGAGGGAGGGAGGGAGGGGGAGGGAGGGAGGGAGGGAGGGAGGGAGGGAGGGAGGGAGGGAGGGAGGAAGGGAGGGAGGGAGGGAGGGAGAAGGGAGGGAGGGAGGGAGGGAGGGAGGGAGGGAGGGAGGGAGGAGGGAGGGAGGGAGGGAGGGAGGGAGGGAGGGAGGGAGGGAGGGAGGGAGGGAGGCAGCTACAGAAAGAGAGAGAGAGAGAGAGAGAGGCGGAGTAGCAGCTGCTAATGCACTGTATATTCAAACTTAATTATCTGATATGTGATACCTTCTAGAATGTTCACAGACGAGAGTTGGCATAGAGTTTAAAAGCTATATGGTCGGAACCATGGGTTAAATATTCATGTATTGTTAAAGAACGACACGAAATATCACAAAGGTAATACCAACCGTTTCACAGGACAACCATTTGTTTGCTTTATCTGGTATTTATTTTCACCGATGAACTTTGTCGCATGTGTTAAGTTATGCATAACCTCTTGCATATATGCAGAATATCTGCTGTGATTCAGGACACATTTTCATGCGGTTTTTAGTTTCAGAAAATAAACTTCAAGTCTTAAGCCTTCAACCAGCTGGTTTTTACTTCAGGAGAGGAGAGTTTAGCAGAGTTTAATTCTCAACTCCGGAATTAGCACTGAGCTGTACTAATTCAGTGATTCAGTCAGGTCACGTGCGGGGAGAACTTAATTGGGTTTGAATTAAAGTGTGGGTTTTGCCATTATTCGAGGAGGGCAAAAATTAACATAATGCAAGGGTCTGTAAAACTAACAATTTGTTCGTATCAACCGCCTTCACATTTCAGAATCCCACATAGTCACGCAAGTCAGCTCTCATATCTCATTCTATATCATGTTCGAGTATATTTATATTGGAGGTAATACACTATGACAAATATCAACTATGACAATTCTAAGAAAAAGCTATTTATAAACAAACTATAAATAAAAAAACCTGGGCGTTGTAGATATTTCCTTACTATATCCATAACTGTAACAGAGCAAGTACTTAGTCTCGTATCAGAGAACAACTTATACGACTCGGGATATGATTCAATTTGATATTACATGATTTATAAATATCCAATAGTCCGTGTACGGGTAAAACTAGGGTAAAACTAGGGTAAAACTAGGGTAAAACTAGGGTAAAACTAGGGTAAAACTAGGGTAAAACTAGGGTAAAACTAGTTTTTATTAAAATAGTCCGAGGAGTTTAAATTCCCTATTTTTTACCTACCACCCCACCCCCTCCCCCACCCCACCCCACCCCACCCCACCCCACCCCACCCCACCCCACCCCACCCCACCCCACCCCACCCCACCCCCACCCCACCCCACCCCACCCCACCCCACTCCCTCCCCCACACCGAAACAAATCACAATACTCAAGTAAGCTACTTACGATAAGATCTGTGAATATCTGATGATTGACGTCCTGTATCAGACGAGGGCTACCGTCCTCCTGTAGGAGTCTTGTGTAGATATCTTCAAACATTATCGGGTTACCTGAAATCAGAAAGAGTTGGGTTTAGAGTGATAGGATATTATCAGAGATAACTGATAAAGTTGATACGAGATAATAGTGTTTGATATTTTCAGCACTACTATTCCATTGTTATGACATACAATCAAATTTTGAGCTCGCTATGTAATAAAGCTTGAAAAACTGGCTGGAGGGGGTTCGCAGTTCTCTAGCATAAGTACAGCACGTACGCCTTGTTTCCGCCTTGTTTCCGTTTGTCATATAAAGGATACCCGATATGAATATCCGATAAAAGTGACGTCATTAGAAAATATCATTAGACATGTCTAATAGACGTGAACCAGTTCATCCAAAACTGATCGATCTATGAAAATGGGTAAAAACTTCAATCGAATAAAGGCAAAACCTGCAGGAACCTGCCCTGAAACTGTGAAAGTGAGACGAACATCAGATACCTTTCCCAGGTCTACTGATACCGTAATGTGTAATACTCCCAATATTACCGCATTTTCATTGCAATAAAAACAATCGATAAAATCACGCACTTACTCACTTATCTTGTTATACGACCCAAGCAGATTTAATGTTATCATTCCGAACAACCCATATATCAAAACTGCAGCCTCCCCGGTAATGGGGTGACACAGTATTTATAGGCCCCTTAAAGATAAGATTTCATGATGTTCATGGCCATGATAACATACATATTGTGTTAGTTGCAGAAGTGTTGAATTACAGGACTGACGTTTCACGACCACTAGATTTGAAACTTATCGGTTTTATATATCATTTATGTAAAACGAACTCGCTGAAAAACCTAACTTTCTTCGAGCTTTTGGAAACTATCGGATTGATATTTATCGCGAGAGAGGTTATCGAAAAGGGTAAATAAGGAAATAAGGTAGAGATAAATCTAAGAATATTCTGAAAGAATAAACTGTTTCTGCAAGTTGTGCACTGTGCAGTTGCTTTTGCAAAACGTTTCCCACACAATTAAGTTATAATTATCTCTGTCAACATGGCGCCCCCTTGGATATTTGGATGACACTCGCTTCATTGTCGTGCTCAAATAAATTTAATCTCAACGATATTAATATCCTGGTTTCTCCCCTGAATACGATTATTAAAACTGTATTTGTTCAGTTTTGTATTTAAGTTTAAATTTGTTAAGTACGTGCATACTATCCGCATTGCAATTATTTTAAATTTCGTACTGTTATTTATTATAATCATGATAAGGATAAAATGCATCACGAAACCGGTAAACATAATTTGTGATATCAATTGCGCAATGCATCTTCTCGAATTATATTATTAGTATTATATATATTATGATACCACTGAAAATTGTACATTTTCACACCAGACGTATTGGTATATATAATGTACATTTCTCGATTTAAAATATAAACGGCATGTAGTGATACAGGAGCAGGAGCGTGAATCAATCAGTCAACTCACTATGAACTCAACCTATTCTAGGACTGATTGTTACTGTGATAATTACCATTTAATAACCTAATAAGGACCTGAATTAGACAACTCTGCTTCCTTTGATGTACCGATTTTCATAGATTAAAGCTTTCAAGTACTAACTTAAAGTGTGTATTGAACCTACACGAACGAGTCGAATTTCATCAGAAGTAATCGAGAAGGTGTTTTGGATAAAAACTGGATGCCAAAAAGTTTCAAAATGGAGATTATGGAACATGATACTGATTATATCGTAACTATGTTGCCCGGACACGAAGGGAAACACACAATATGAGGCTTGAAATCTGTGTAAAAGTAAAACTACATCATTAGAGCCTCAAATTATTTGTTATATTATAGTAGTGTCGAAAGTATTAAAACTAGTAAGGTGTTATTAATCTAGGAGTAGCAGTAAAGCTAACAGTAACTCTTACATCTTTACTGCCACGTGTTAAAAATAGAAATATAAAACTGATACTGACACTATTGATTAATAGGGTATAAACATTCTACTAGAGGACAACTCTTCTATAAATCTACATTAGTGGATCTGCTACAACAACATTGAGGGTAAGTGTGTGTAGCATTCCTATCTCTCATTTAGATGATCTGGATATACATTTAAGACCGCTACACCTTCTAGAACCCCTCCCCTCCCATAAATCCTTGACAAGCGACATCTACAAGAAGTGACAATCTTTACACCATCCCCAGTTCCCCCAGCCCCCGCTTCTGAGAGCCCTCTGATTTTGAATCGTAATCAATAGTTTGATCCAGCAATTTACTACGCTACAATTAATGGCAAATTATGCTAGTCGTAACTAATTGCATCCAAGATACCATACATATTACATACCATTCAATTTCATAACATTTGCGGCCATATGATCTGGTAACCAATCAACTATTCACAAATACCAGTTCGGCGAACAACTATTCACAAACACCTGTTCGGCGAACAGGGGTCGGGCTATCTAGATACTGCCCGAAGATTGTGAACAATGCTTTTTACACTGTACAATACAATAACAAATACAACTTACCATTGTTCTCAGGGTCAGCCAGCAAATCGTCATCTCCCGAGTCGACTTGTGGGGAGTTCTAAGAGGAAGAAATATAATGTTAGAGGAATAATAATAAATATTATGTGTATATTGTGGTGACTTAGTGACTACAACATTATAACAGCTCGTGATGGTGAAGATTACACAGTTTGATAGTATAATAGCCAGCTTCGTTTTACCACACTTATAACAACATTGTATGTGATCGAAGAACGGAGCTCTGCTTTCTATCAGAACTTCAATAAATAGATTGACGTTAAACCGTTGATCGGTCTACGATCGCTATAAAGACAAATTCCCAATTTGTGGTTCTTTAACCCAAGCAATCAGAAAGGTTTTAAATAATTTGATTCGGTTTTAAATAAACTGTCTAACAGTGAAACCCATGCCCCAAATTAGCTGATCCCTGTTTAAGTTTATTTAATTTCTGTGAATGATCATCCCATTTTGGGAGCCGATAGGTAAAATTCAATCAAATATTCAATCATAAATCCTATTAAGATGGAAGCAGACAAATCATACAGAGAGACTGACAAATCGTTTAACTGGGTCATTTCATGGTTCAGTGTTCAAGGATTACGAACAAGTTGTTCTGAATGTATCAACCACACGGGTATAAAGTTATACAATCGTGTGTAGCCTGGCACTTAAACATTGAAACTTTAAACAGAAACCCCGCCACGTTCAGATAATATTAACATTAAACTGTTAAACAGGTCTTCTAACTAGGATGTAACTTACCTTGAATTAAATTCGATCAAACTGACATTTAACTGTCTGAAAACCATGATTATTATAATGCTTATGGTTATTTAAACCAGTCACCAGACTGCGATTAAGCCATCCACTAATTCATGACATAACCTTTATCTATCATAGGTTTCAACCAAAAAATGAATCAGTAAATCCCAACATTTTTTTTTCACGTCGACATTAAGAATAAACCCACACATATCATTATAATATATACAATTACACAACTAAGGTTGCGCACTGGTTATTATAATGAATTACATATATTAACACAACACTAGAATCTGGAGAATTTAAGTAAATTTAACCAATGATTAGTTACCGATTTCCAGTACAAACAATCACACATTTTTAAATTATCACACATTTTAAACTTCACGAAACTTACTGGGTATGAATGAACAGGAGTACAGTAGCCCGAACTCTACATTGAAAAACATTTTAATAATTTTTAACAAAAAAGCCTTTTAAATATTGTATTAGGACCTAATTTAGATGCCTGGCTGTGGTGGCCTCTTTCCTAATATTCTACTTAATTCTTAGGCGTGTTTAACTTTAAAAAACGTTGATTTGTAGAGGCAACTGATTTGGTTATTATACTCGTGACGCCCCATGTAAAGCTAATCATCATAATTTGAGTAGATTACGGTGAGTAGATTACACTACATTTAATTTTACAGAAACTTGTTACAGTCCTTGTAATATTCAATTCGATTAAAGCAAATTTCCTCGTTTCATATTTCTAGAAAGCTAGAACAATGCCACAATTTCCGTGATCCCACACACTGTTCGTTAGTTTACTCCTCTTTCTATAATGACTTATTCTATTCGTAACTCTACTCGTAATTCTTAAGACAAAGCTTAGAGATCCTCAGCACTAACTCAACATCGGATTTCGTACACTACATTAATAAATACGTTAGTAAGTTTCTATATATTATTATAACTTATTCTACTCTTAATTTATGTGAGAAAGTTCAAATTCTCAAACATAACTCAGCATCAAATTTCGTTTAATACATTAAATATATTGTATTAATAGTAGGTAGTTGCCAATTAATTTAGTAAATTTCCGTAACGGAACGATGTCAATTATGAGATGGGAACTTAATAACATTGTCCTTACTCAAGACTAAACACACAAAACCAGAGGTATAATAAAATAGCGGAAAATTACGTAGCGCCTGAGTCTATAAATAGCATCACAACACAAAACGTAATTCTAACACTCTCTCTCACTTTCTTTGAGAGAGACTGTGAGACGGGAATATTATATTGTATTTAAAGTTTTCCCTTTCTTTGGGTTCACCGTCTTCGTAGTACTAGTACGGGATAAGTTATATATTGGGAAATTACATTATTTGTAATGGTAAATTACATCATTTGTTTTCTTTAATACTCACTTCGATATTACTACTAGGGCTAACATTGATTGAGCTGTACATCTTTCGTGCATTAGGCCATAATTAGTCCTGGACCAGGCCATTACATTGGATAACAAAAATGAAAATAAAGCAGCTCAACAACACAGCTAGCTACTATCAAGGGGCTATTACTTATTATTAGTTATTACGTCATTGGTTAACTTATTAAATTTATTATAACTTGGTCAAATAATGATAGAACGGGCAATTAATCCTTTGTGATCTAATGTGATCTAAATTCTACATTCCACAATCAATGTACGTTACGCAGTAAGACGTGCGCTCTACTGCGTAACGGTTATATATAATGCAATATAAAATACCCAGAACTCCAGAATAGAGGGTTCCAGAATTCAATATTCACGTAGAAAACTTCATTTTTATAAGCAAATGTGTGTAAAAACTGACAACTTATTTAATGAATAAAACCAATGTCCGGTATAAGCCATTGCATGAATTTGATGCCTTACTAGTTACTTGACAGCTGTTTTACTACGCATAATGTTGTAAAAATGGTACTTTAAATCTTATCTCCCCTAATCTAAACCACGCCAGCAGCTGCAAAGATTTTAACAAACTGTAGAAGTTACACCGTGTGTGTTAGACATACTGATAACCATGATTTGTGAATTATACTATTCAGTTGAGCCGGAGAGCCGAACAGCGGGAGGAGAGCTACTACTCACATTTAACTTTAGAACTACTCAGATACGTTCTAGTACGAGCTTTCTACAGTGTGCTGTCACTTACACTGATATATTGACGAAAATATGTCTTATTATATTCTAATGTGTTGTCTAGCTATATAGAGGGAAGTTAATGTAATATTTGTACAAATATTCTAATATTATATCATCCTTATAAGGACTAATTTTAGGACTAATCTAATTTTAGGACTAATGTTAAGGTACAGCGAGTTTAGGTTATATTATAATAATTTCATTACTTATTATATTAATATTATTACTCATAATTAAGCTTAAGTGCTCTTACCCCGTAGTTATGACCAGCAATACTGTCTATCTCGTGAGTAAGACCACAACCCAACACGAAGGTAGTGAGCGCGTGGATGTGACACACAATGGTGACTGCTTGCGTCAACTCTGGTCGGGACCACGAATCTGGACCCGTTAGGAGGTCCTGGGGTGAAGTGGAGAGGTTAATTTCATAGCCAGAAATAAAAGGGTTGAAATAATTATTATAATCGTGGTCTGTGAACAACTCTCAAACGACATGACCTCAACGCTTAACTTATAATAGTTGTGTTGAAAGTTCTTCAGAAAACGATGTATTCTAAAGAATATTAGATGTATTCTAAAGAAACAACTTCTCGGTTCTCGTGGAGCTATTGATCATATTCCCAAGAGGAAACTTCTAATTTATTGTTTATTACAGTTATTCATATGACATATGGCAAACTTACCGACTTACGTAATATATTAAGTTAAAGTGACAGTTGACACCTTATTATATTATGTTAACTTGTGTAATTATTACTGTACCTGCATGTGTTGGGAAGTGAGGGCCCAAGGCTTGTGACAAAGTATGTTGTTGACTGTGGTAAGGTTTTGTAGTTTTTTAGGAGCGTTCTTCAGTCCTTCTAACCACTCCTGATCTCCTCCAAAACAGAGAAATTCCCGTTCTAACAGGTTCACCTGAGAGGAATATAATGTTTACAATTACTTCGTTATAACCGAAACATTTGGGAGATAGAGATTCTTAGTTTTATGTGAGTGATGTGCTGATATGTGAGGATATGCTGATCCTTGAGTATTGAACTTTATAGTTGTGCAAGGTAACCGGAGATAAATTCGGGTATATATCGCGGTGCAAAATATCAAAGTTAATACCAAGTGTTTCTGCAGAAATTTTATGCGATAAAAGATTTAAAACTTTTCTAGATTAAAATTCTTCTGTAGAAAACCATTAACCTTAATTCTATCTTTCTATGCGCTTTCGACTAATGAATATCCTAATTTCCATCGGGGATCATGTCCGAAGTGAAGCAATATTAGAAGACCCCGGAGTCCCGAGGATCATGTCCGAAGTGAAGCAATATTAGAAGACCCCCCCCCCCCCCGGCCCCGGCCCCCCCGGCCCCCTGAGTCCCGGTCCGTAGAACTAAGAGAGATTATCAGTTAGTTGTCAACACTGTCACACAGCCGCTGGTAATCGTTATCAAGATATTATCAGTATAATTACCCTCATTATCGTTATCACATGTGTCCGGTTTTTAATTACATAATTGTTGGGGCAGCACATTTTCATAAGAGACCTCTACAAAGTACATTGCAGAAGCGTTTCCTAAGATATATTCTAGGTCCTTCTAAAATGTAGAAGGACTAAGAGTACACTCAGACAGAAACTCTTAGAGTCTTTAATTACATCCAGGACAGACGATAATCGCTCTAGTATTCAATTTTCTAATGTGTGATGACGTCACAACTCTTAAAATATCTCAAGTACGATATCAGGACGTATTATATATTGTATATCAAGTGCATGTAATGGTTCACTTCATAAGGTTAATAAATTATAAAAAAAGGTGCAGAGACCACCTATATCAAATTATCAAAAATACGTTCTATAATCAGAGTATTTATGATAATTTGATCATGAATAATGAATAATCAATGAATAATCGATTATATGTAACGGAATAATTAATAATAATCAACTCACTGTGTACAGGCAGTTGTGCCGAGCTGACGCCTGAAATTTGATTTTAAATTAATATTGTAATGATATAATAGGCTAATAACTATTATATACGTACTTTAAAATTAAGGTAAAAAACAGTACGGGGTCGGGTCATTGCAATGACCTTTCTAGAAACTTATAGCTTTGATGATATTTCATAATGTTTTAATATTTAATGTTACATTACCGGGGGGGGGGGGGGGGGGGGGGGGGGGGTGTGAGGATTAATGTCAGAACGTGTGATGAAACATTGTCCCTCGCCACATTGTAATTATAACAATGGTCAGTGGGCACTGGGCACCCTTCTCTATTCAACACGATATTCAACACGATAATAATAATAGTTACAGCCCTTACCACCACCCCGTACAATATACAATGCTGTGTACGTGACCACAGAAATTTAGCAATTTAGCAATTAACTATTTAACTTGTTAAGGGGTTACACCATGTCTGGTAGTATTTTCACGAAATTACCAAATATAGTATTGCAAGGGAGGGTGATGTCAGCATGTCTCAGATACCAGTTTTACAGGTCGGATAATTATACGTTTTTATGTATTTAGTGCTAGTGAAAAGGGCTACACCAGTAATCAGTATACACGCGCTAATTAAACACCTCGCTCAAAAACAACAACATGATCTAGAATAAACACAAATATTTAAAGATGAAACAGAGAATATTATCAAATTTGCAGCTACAATTTGATGTTGCACTATCTTTTTATTGAGTTATAATTTGATATACGACCCCGTACAAAGTTTCATGGTATTATCCACCCTCTCTACCCCCGACAGTTTATATTGGTATCCTCCTGTCCAAAATCAACCCTTTACTTGTTTATGTCCAGTGAATAATGAATATTATACAAAAAGTAAGTAAGATTAGCTTAGAAGGTGACATTTTTTGCTTGGTGAACTGGTGACATATTTCGAATAAAATGAGGTGAAAATGCGAAGGAATTGTTTTTATAGTAGTGTACAAGCGTATCACTGCTAGATTGTAATGGAATAAATAAACTACTGTACTCGAAGCTAAGGAGAGGGCGAGAGAGATTTGATGAAGTAATAAAAATATATCTGTAACACAGCAGTGAAAAGCTAGCATCTGTAATCTAAATTGTTAGCTTTTAGTGCAGTTCTATTGTTCTTATCTTCATGATCTCAAATACAATAAGCAATTGAAGTATTGTGAATAAACAGATTACAATACTTTAATGACAATACCAATATTATTCAGTCTGAAGTGTTGAGCTCATACCAGAGCCCAGGACTCGAAATTGAGTTCTTGCCAGTACTATTATAGAATTAGTATTGTTGCAATGATGGACTTATAATTGTTAAAAGTCTGGTTATCATGAGGTCTAATTCACAGTTCACACTTCACAGTTCACAGGTCAAAGCGTACAATGGTAACTTACATATCACTTTCCGTAAATTTTTAATTCGCAACAAAAATTTAAGTCTTAGCGAAGATTGAGGGACCCCTTTCACGTTTTTGTATCAATACTCCACTTTGGGTTAGTATATTCACAGAGGAAAGTGCTTGAAAATATTGCAACGCTAAAACATCAAGGAAACGTGTGGAACGTGACACCTTTTTACTACTTTTCCTTAAATAATGCGGTGAAAGGAGGAGTAGCTTCGTGTTAAGTTTTGCATAGAACTATGATAGCTTTTAGAAAAGTGAGAACCTTTGTATACGATATGATACAGAAAACATATTTAATGTATTTATAGTTCTTAAGCTCCTTGTGTCCAAGAGTGGTGTTTCTCTTGTCTAAAATATCAAGTCAATGTAGAAAGTAGCACCATGGTGTACTATATATCGTTACTACTTTTGCTTCCTTGTAAACGAGTGCAGTAGTGGTAGGAAGGGCAGTTTCGTGAGATGTGGAAAGTAGCAGTACTAGATAATACTTGCTACTTTTGCTTCCTTGTAAATCAATGGTTCGGGCTGAAGAAGAGTGGAGTGTAAACGTTTGCGTGGCACTGTTATTATCAACATTTCCTCTCTGTATTATTATAGTGTATATACATGAAAGAGTGCTGCTGAGTAGTTCACAGCAAAACTAGATCATAATATCAAGATCGTAACTAGATCTTATCGATCCTTATCCTATCGTGAAATTATGGAGCCGATACCCGAGGTATAATATTTATTAGGTTAATAATGACTTTAGATAAGAAGATATATCACCGTTCATTTCATAGTTTAACATTTGGAATGTTCTAGGCTATTTTATATGAATGTTTTGAGGAATGGCATTGAATCTCAGTTCGAGGAATGATGATTGGATCTTTACATCGGAAACACTGCAATGATTTTGTATTCTTAAAAACAATCTTATCATATCCGTGTTCACACTTTATTTCAGGAACACTGATCAGTGTCCTGACAACTAACCTTCAACGTGTAACATGATCTTCCGTTCTACTACCACCAACACTACAATATATTGTCACGAACATGTCAGGTTATTTATAGGGTCATTCAGAGAAAGATTTTCACGATTAATCAGATCAAAACTTTGTTTCCAAACGGGAGTTTATTATCGGCGAAACAGTACTATGCGTGTAAAACTATTGTTTATTGTGACATCTTTGTGGCCCATGTCTCTTTGTGGCCCACCTCTTGTGGCCCATACAGAATTTTGTTGTAATAACATTTAATATAATTCCTAGATCAGAAAGTGATACGTATACGCTACAGCAGGGTTAGATGCATTAGCTCGCCTACCCCGGAAACACATTGCTGAGTCTTAGTGAATCTACTTTATAGTGCATAATATATGTGGTTTCAGGTATGTCGTGGCCTGGTTGTGAGAATAAATCGAACCTATTAATCATGATCAACTAAACGTGACAGTTTTAATAGTACCGTTTTACAGTGTACACCTCTAACAAACGTGTGAAAGAAACGTGACTCAATTGTCTCCCCACGTACCCACACCACGTAACCACACGATGTAGGTGTGTAGGTCGAATGTTTGTTGTACACGAAAGTATGATAAGGTATCCGGATTACAGATTGAATCAAATATATAATTTATATATCGTATTTATCGTATACCAGACTTCACAAGCAAAAAGGAATATCATACATATCTTTGCGTCACATCGAATGAATTTTAAAATTACACTCATTGCATTTTATTACGCTGCACACCTGACACCATGATATTATCAAACCACACAGTATACTGTAGTGGTACGCAGTATTATATCGACACAGTCCTGAACATGTTAATCTGTGATCAGTGCTTACATAATATTACGATACAGAGCTTGTACACTATGTATAGGGTGGGCCAGAGAAAACTGATCGTTTTGAAGTTGTAAGTACACTATTGTGCTCATCTTCAAAGTTCTTTTAGTTTCCTACAGACTAAAATTGTGTTGTAAAGAATGTAAGTTACGACCGCAATAACTCTACGTGCCAACTATCAATATATTCCCGTAACATTTTCTGAATCAATGTATAACTGTATTTTGCACTTATCTGGTTCACTGGCTTTATAATCTTAATTATTGTCTAGTCATAAATGCCAAATATGGATAACATTTCGTCCGTTTCAAGGGAACCAGCTTTGGCTGCTATAGTGGTCATGACAACCTTTAAAACTCAAAATCTACCATTAAGAACTTCTACTTTAAAGAAAGATATTGTTCAGATAATAAGTTACAGCTGCTCCCCCTCCCCCCCCCCCCCCCCCCCCATTGTACCATTATAGAAATGTTAGCCTGCTGCTCGGAAATTCCGGGAAAGGATCCCCTCTCCATTTCTACTAAACTACACACTAACCATGATAGCAATGTAAGCCCGGTAATGTCGAGGTAACACACCATTACACTCTCTCATTAAATGGTGGTGAGTCTGAATCCAGTGAACGAGGTACTTGGGGTGTAGTCCCATCACTTGTACCATGTGTGACACCCGCGCGTCGTTCATGAACGCATCTTTGAACATCGGCCATGCCTGTCGGGGTTAAGTGAAACGTTAGAGGATAATTCAGTATTTAAATCATGGTAATTATGGTAATTATGTATGTAATTTTGCAGAAATTTGATAAAAAATAAATTTGTCGTATGTGTTCAAATTTTATCGAATCATTACTGGAGATAAAAATTTTAGACAAATTACCGTGCTTTAAATTGGTGTTCAATTACTCGGGTGATACTTCAAAAGGCATGGTTTAAAGAAATTTTAAGAGTGATATTCTTATTGATATTCAGAATATAATTAAATAATCAATGTATAATTGTCTAGTAGATAATTACAAAAATCATACATTATCATATAACCTCTGATTTGACATCGTCAAGTTTTGGTACTTTGTCTTTTGGTATGTAGAACGAAGGACCCTTCCTGAAGCGCACCCTTGGAACTTGAAGACCAAGCGACTGAAAGAGTAAAGGATTAGAGACAAGATATTATTGTTATATCACAAGTTTACAGATACGTCCAATGAAATTTATCATGCATACTGCATAGTGTGGAACAAAGCTTTGCCGAATATTTTACATGATATAATTTCTAATATAAAATATTCAAGATGGCAAAACTTTGAACATTTTTTACGAAGGTCGCTCATATCGCTGGAGCCATATAATAAGACAATGAACTTCCTTGACGATTTTCTATCAGCCTCTCAACATGGTTAAAATGTCATGTACACTCTCTTTCTTACGTCTTAGCACATTTAAATGTAGTGTGATTATCTACATTCTCCACCATTTCTCAAGCTCGAAAAATAAACTGTAAACAAAAGTCTATTTTAATTTGACAAGCAGCAGGAACAGTGCGAAATGAACCAGAGCAACTCAGCTCGTAAAAGCTTGACTGTAAACGCGCTACTGTCACCCTACTTCAAGGCTAGCTTGATGCACACCGTAGTAGTGGGAGAGCTGAGGTGCGGAGTTTTCAGCAGGAAAATGAAATTCTGGATAGACTCCAAATAATATACTCTCTCTTGATTCTGGTAATTATCATTGTTGAGGTTGCTTATTTTAGCTGGACTATGTAGAATGAAAGTATAGTGTGTGTGAGTGTTGTCTTTATTAATGGAGCTATAATATGTCCAATACTGCTGTCTCATTCTAACTGACAAGGAAATTTGAAGTTCCTTATTGCAAAGTTCTCAACTCTCAAGGTGTTTTACTGATTGATTTTCTTCACGGAGAACTTAACAAATTTAGTTGATATGTAATCTTATCCTTGTGACAGTGTAACCTATACAGTATCCAAAGATGTCATAGAGATACCAAATCCCCCCCCCCCCCCCCCGGCCGCGGCCACGGCCCTCCCCTGATCAATTCTCTCCTTATCGGATAAACCCTGGAAATCCCAAAGACGCAAATTCAACGGCCTTCCGCTAACAAACAAATTTTAAAACTGAATACTGATAGTACCAGAGTACTTAATAAGTACTCTGGTACTATCAATATTCAGTTTTAAAATTCGTAATCTGTTATATATCTGTAATATATTTATTACAGATCAAACTTTTTTAGAAGAAAGAAAAGTTTTAACCCAGGAAAGTGAAATACTGCATAATATAAAACATTGTAGTCTAAAATCCTAGTCTAATGAGTGCCGCATCCGGAATCATTAACTTAGATCATTAAGATCTTATTATTAATATCAGTCAGCAATCTTAATACTATTTCATTGTTAAATACTATATTTGGGCGAGAATCAAATCAGAAATCTTTGTTGTTGAGAGTTGAGAGGTTTCTTTAAATGGTATACTGACTACAGTTTAAGGAGCTTACCAACTTCAGTATAGATCATCCGTCAACAGCAATACTTGTTAATGTTATTGTGAAGTCATCGACTGTGATAAAAGTTTCAAAGCTGTTCAGTAATAAAATTATTTAAAAAAATTGTTTTATCTAAACGAGATTAAACGTTTTTATGGCGACGGAAAAAGCTGGAACATTTTACTTATATTATATTACTTTTTTATTATATTACCTTTTTTTATGAATTTATAAAATTATGAAATGGAGCAGGCCTCTATGGAATAATATAAATGAATTAGAAGAATTTAAATATGCCCATTTAAATACGTTGCAAATTTTCCAGAAAATCAACGACAGGCCGCACACTAGGGTTTCTGTTTTTCTGGAAGCCTGAGAAATTAAGACAGAAGCACTGTAGGGGAGATGTCAATGGGAGAAAAGTCGTATGTTTTCCGCACATGACGTAATATTGAAAGTTGAAACTAATTTACAAAGTACAAGCTTAGACCTTTAGGCTCCGTATGAGAAACAAATCTTATTGAAAATTAATATAGAACATTTTTAAATCGAGAAAGGTCTAGGTGTTCGCTAGTGCTCGGAAGCAACATGTAGGTACGACAATATTTTCCCCTTTTTTTGTAAATAGTGCGATTCCGCTCCTTCCCAAAACATTTTTATGTGCGGCAAATTTGGAGACAAAAAATACCAAATTTGCAGCTTTTAAAAGTACTCTCAGGCTTGATTATTCAGCAGCGTAGTATATAACATTGCCTTACACGACTGTTTTGTTTAACACAACAATTAACTTTCAAAGTGTCTTACCTAATGTCTCACGTGGATTTACCTGACGATTCAAGATGTATAAACAAGCTGGTGATAAGCATAATTGAAGTAGAGTACTTCAATATCATAACTTTATAACTTTATAACATTCCAACACTTGTTGTATTTATTATATTATTACTAAAGTGGCTCAATTTCAATCGGGTGATCCAGCTTGTTAAGCTATTTATTGGCCAAGATTCACCCTCTTTTGTTTTTTATCAAGTATCGATACTATTAAAAGTCATATTCTGATAATAATATTGAAGAACTTCTGGGAATATTTTTAGGAACACGCTCCATACCCCATGCGTGAGAGTTACGAGTTATATGTAAAAACAAAGACTAAAGACCGGTGCTAGAGTTATATTAGGTAAAAACAAAGACTAAAGACAATTGGAGGAGAACAATAGAGCTACACCCTCTTAGTCTAATGGGATAATCATTCCGATGCTATCCTTCTGCCATATTTCTATTATATAGTTACAGTTAAGTTAGGACCCTGTGATTACACTGCTAAGGATCTCACCCACCGCGACCGACCTATCAATGCAGTTTCAGCATAAATATGATATGAAATGGTTTAAGACTAACCTCAAGATTACCGAGAAGGTCCTTCATGCCGTCAGATATTTCAGTAAAAGGGGCTCTGTGCGCTAACCGCAGTATCGTACTCAAGAACAACTTTACACTATGGAGCTCAGACTTGGCCATTTCTGAGGAAACAAGGGAATAATTAATAACAATCTGTTAAAAATGGTCTGGTTAATAATCGCGGTGTATCTGTGTTCAGATAATATATTCTTGATGATCAATAAAAAGCGAAATAAATTGTCTGTCAAGAAAAGAGAAACTTCCACATATTTCAAGTTCGTTCATAAAACAACAAATTAAAATCTCAAATTCGGATAATATTGGAACACCCAACCCTGCATTTCTGTAACTGGAAGGTAGAAACTAACCTAGGATGTGAGAGGAGATTTCGTGGACAACCTCTCTTCTTTCAAACTCATCGTCTGTAGCGAGCCTTGAAAACATCTCCTCCACCTGTAAGAATGAACACGGTTACAAAACGTCTAACGTATCTACTATCTAGTGAATGGCGCATATTATTATGTATTTTTAGCAGTTTTGTTCTAGAAAGTTTTTCTTTTCATACAGCAAGAAACTGTAAACGAACTTGTATTCCAACATATATCAGGATATTTTTTAAATTTTCATCCAGCAAATAATTTCCGTCATAAAAATTGTTCTTTATTTTCAAGACGCATTTCTCAGCTCATATAAAAGATCAAAGGTTGAAATTATATGGATTTACCTTGAACTATTGATAAACGCAAAAGCTGGCATTAAAGCCATCATGTAAGCTGTCGTTTTGCTAATCAGTAAAACCAAAATAGCTTCTAATTTGTCTCACATTCTCTCGATTCATAGATTGAAAATTTTCCTTATGTACGTGATATTTTCGATAGAATATTGCGTCCAGAATTATTAAAGGATATAATTACTTCAACATGGCATGCTAGTCATGGTCATGAGTCACCGGTCACAAAAATCATAAGTCAACTTTTTCGTGGTGAGCATTTTTTCGCATAATTCTGAATCCTGACCAAGAATACAAGAAATCAAGCCAGCAATTCTCTGCGATCAAAATTGAAAAGTAGCATTTTCCCTTAACTATACCATGACCATGAGAATCATTAATTCAACATTTTACTCATTTATTTATTCGATAAAAATTGACGTTCAGCTATGCCTATGGTGACATAATTTAAGACAGAAAAAATAAATCCTGACCTCCTTTTACATCATGGCCATTGGCCATGGGAGAGGTCTCTCGCAAATGCGAGAAGAAAGATCCCGGAGAGGGCACCATTGGTTTTGGCATGTTGCATATTTTAAAAATTAAAGGGGAAAAAAAAGGCGCAGCTCCGTTTTGTGTATCACATATTTTATCATATAACCGATACAGTACGTGAGAATTAAAACAGTACGTGAAACACTGAATCAAGGAGACAGTAGATTATTTACACGATAACATAATATCTTTAAAGTTTTGTTAAATATCAAGAAGCTCACAAAATGTTGATAAAGTATTTTCGTTACTATCAACTAAATATTTGTTCCGACATTTTTACGTACAAGATAAGACTTAATACAATAACGGGGCCGCTCCAGCCTACTGTTTAATAGACTAATGTAGCTCATATTCACATAATATATGTGGCCCGGAAGTCTGTGGAGTCTATAAATAATAATATTAAAATATGTCGTGTCATGTAACAGATTTGGTTCTGTTAATATCATTGAGTTACTAACTTACTAAGAATTCTCCCTGACTGATGAACCAGTTTACCTGTCTAAACTTAACTAAACATAATACTATATCATTTTAACATAATATTATTTACCTATTTTAGGCAATAAAGTTTAGAAAAGCACGGCTTCAATTCCTTGTTTTTAACAAAGCTGTCGTCCAAAAAATCCAAAATTAGCATATCATGCTAGTAATGAAATTATATTTTGTAAAAAAAGCAGGACTAGCGATGGCTCACTGCACAGTGCCACCGGTTGAAAGTTACGATACTATTAATATTATGTTAATATACAGTATACACACCACTCTGTCTATGTGGCGCACTTTGCAGACACTACTTCTAGTAATATAATATACTATATATTAATATACTGCATATTACAGCGTTATCAATACCATCCTTATCTAGATCACTGTGCTATACTGGTCTCTACGCGGTCTACTCAGTGTCAGATTATTACAGAGGCAGTAACCGACACATCACATATCAGTGTCATGCAACCAGCACATCACATATCAGTGTCATGCAACCAGCCCAGAGTTTATCAACAGTCGGCAACCAGAACATTCGGCGCGGTGATAATCTCAATATTCATTATCGATCAGCAACCAGGACAAGACATCTTTAACAGTCAGCGACTTATTCGATACAGCATGCCCTGATAGTTCGATGTTTTGTTGGAAAAAAACCAGAAGTTCATATCAAATGATTACTGGAACAAAAAGCCTTACTATTCATCGATTACTACAATAATACTAATTCATCGATTATTTACCAGTTGAAAGTATATTGTAGAACTAGTTTTAAATGTTAATGACACCCGGATGATTGTTATTTCAGACTGATTTCTGAAGAAAATGCTGCCATCAAACATCTTAGCTGGATAGGAAACAGGGCAAATAGCCAAGCCCAAAATATATCATAAATGAGGGCTATGGTTCACTACCTAAAGTACCTTAGGTAGTGAACCTTTGCGAAGCTATATGAAAAGTTATATGCGGAACCTTTGTTATAATATGATTAAAGCAGATTAGAACTCAGGAATTAGATATGGAACGAGAAAAGCACTCCAACAAAAGACCTCTTCTTCTTTTGGTTGTCTATATATTGAGAATCTTTGTTTAAATCTTCTAAAGCATGGTAACGTTCACAACATTCACCTTTGTCTCTGTTATTCAGGAAGATATTATATTACAAGAAGCATAGAAAAGAGAAATAAAAGGCAGTCTCAACCCAAGGATTGAGTCAATTACTTGTGTGTATATAATATGAACGATCGACGGATACATATTAAAATGTCAAAATGTGAGAGTCGGTGAGTTTTGATTTTACTTCCTGTTTCCATATACGAGCATAAAACCCAAGACGAACATACAGTCCATAAAAAGTAGATTCTAATAAAAAGCGATCAATACCAGAAGGAAGTCCCACCTTAGTCCAGAGAGTAATAACAGCATGACGAGGCGTAACACGGTCCACAACCAAGAAAGGAGCGTGGTGCAGGGATACGACAGCAAGGTGGGGTGGTCCGCAGTGGTGGGGCTCGGGTGGGGCAAGAAGTAGCTTCATGTTGGGCGATCGCACACGCATTGTGACCATTTAGCACTACCTAATCACTGAGGCCACAATTTGTAAGATAAATGTGCAAAAACAGCCAGTGAGACTAAAAATGAAATATTAAATTGAATCAAATTAAAAGTAACGTCAAACACGAAAATTATTCCGACAAAGGATACATAAATTCTGAGGAAGGAAAATGGTAAAATCGAGGGGAACAAAATTACGAAGAAAGAATTACACGAACAACTTCAAGATGTGTATTTAAAAATACTTCTGCAACTCTAAACCAAATGAGATTGTAGAGTAATTTACGACCAATAATCCGTCTGATCCCGCAGTAAGGTCCTTAGTTCTTTAGTTCCTACGGGTCATATCATCGAAGACTCAGGAGCCCTAAAATCTAATCAAACCACCGTGCAAAGACAGCTTAATATATTATTATCTAAGGAACAAATACATTACAGCGTGATGGAGTGCCCTAAATCAATTTACAATTTATATTAAATCACAGTTGCTACACAAAAAGTAGTATTAGGTAACACCTGTGCAAAGGGTAGCGGGCCACTACTGATAAGTGATAACAGACTTATTACTCATTACAAATACGCAATGTCTCCACCACATTACACGTTATCAGGGCCGGGGTCACATATCTAGCATACTTGCTCCACATTGGTGGAGAGCATCTAGCATACTTGCTCTCCATTGGTGGAGACCAGATAGGTCGTTTCACCTAGCTGCACGAAAACAGGCCCACGGGGTGAAGGGTCCCGCAACTACGTATCCTCGCACGAGTTTTACTCTCGACAGGTATGCATTGAAAATTATCATTGGTTCTCCATATTATCCGCATAATTTACGGATAATATGATTATTATTTTTGTACGTGCTGCGGTCTCTTTGACTGAATAAGACAGAACACGATGGTATCAATATGTTTGTTTCTTGTTTGACTTGTTTGCTTGACAAATTGAAATTCGATACAATTAGTGGCAACCTTTTAGTGGTATTTTAGTGGTATTTTAGTGGTATTTTAGTGGTATTTTAATATAGTGTGTGGTATGGAACTAATTTAACAGCACAGAAATAACTGCAGACACATTGTCACTGGTATCTCAAAGCATGGTAGTTCACTGCTTTTCCAGGCTAATGCTGCACTGCAGTGCAATTTGCAATTTACATGCATTTAAGTGAACACGTTGTAACAGTTGATGGTTTTAAAACCGTTTAGAAGGAAGTAAATTTCAATAAATGTACAAGTTGATTATTAAGGTAGAATCTTGTTTAAATATTCCTTACTTTTACTCGTTTTACTTTTATTTGTGATTTTTTGCCTGATATAGTATGTTGTTTAGATGTTTTCAGTTTTGACGAATGACGAAGCTGCAGTAACAGGGGACTTTACAAACTAACTATAATTCCGATTAATCCGTCATGTTAATTTGTCCCAAAGTTGCTAAAAGAAATGATTATCATGAAACTTATCATAATGTGCGACTAATAAACAATCGCCCAATCATTCAACTTGCTCAATCCAACTTACCAAAGTGTAATCTATTCGTTCTTTGGGAGCAACGAGACTGATGTTCTCAGGTCGAGACGTCGCACTGCCAAGCATATCGTCCTGTAATTGTATATGGTTATCTAAAACTCATGTAAATATGGACGCTTAAATAACTTTAAATGAAGATCTGACATAGTTTGATTTCGGTTACGTTTATCTTGCAAAACAGTGGGAGAAGACAGCTTCCTTCAACTAAGTTTCAACTTGGTCAGACAAAATGTCTCTGGTGCTTGAATAATGAATACACGCAATGGGCATTTGAAAAAATATCATAATATATAGTGTGAGAACTTGGTAATCTGTCGACAGACACTCAACAAACAGTTGAAGCACGGTTAGCACATAGGAAGTTAGCAGATAGGAAGTCCGGACAGATTACAAAATTTCCAATGTTGCAAGAGAATAGTATTCCTGTATGCTATTAGTATATAATATTACCTTTTCGGAAGATGTAACCATGAAGTTGAACTGTTTGTTTGGTGAGGTCTAACAATGGAATATCCTTCTTCATCGAACCATTTTCATGTTATCCAGTTGTTGCATTCTAGAAGAAAATATAAATGCTGAATGATACAGAAATTTAGCTGTAACCACAATTAGGGTCCAACATTTTGACTTATGATGCTATCGAGACTTGATACACAATTATAAGAGACTACACAGTACAGAATCAATAAATAACTCATCAAACGTGACAATGGAATAAATGGATAACAACAGATTGAATTCAGAATATTTATTGTAGTTTGCAGTAATCTTTGCTAATGGAATGTTTCATATCCTTTGTGCACAATGCTCGTTCTGGTCCAACACCAGATAATTATAGGAACTGTGTGTAATTGTTATAATATAACAGAGAACATCTGGAATCGTCTAGAAACGTGGTGTTACTTATCTCTAGATATTATTTCAATTGCACATAAAACAGGAGCAAAATATTCATAAGCACATCCTAATTGAACAAATTGGGTTAGGCAAAGTTCATTCCTAGGCCATAACTGGACCAACCAGAAGATCATTCCTGGACCAACCAGAAGATCTTCAATCTTGCAAGGATACTCATAACCACTGCACAAACATTGGGTGTACTGTAAACAATATTGATTTATGATTTGCCCACTGACTAGAAAGATTTTGATTTTTCATGTGCAACCTGTTGAATGTATGATAAAAAGAATACACTAGAATGCAGGTGAACTGATATAAGATGAGTATACCAATGTACCCTTTATATAAATTTTAATTTTAGTGATGCAAAACTCTATCAAAAGTGAATAAAATCCAGAAAATACACCTTAAAATTCCGTGATCAACAAATTTGCATGGTTATTTTATAATGCATTGACTCTTAATGATACTACTGAGACTTAATATACAACAAGAGATTAGACAATGATAAATAACTCATCAAACGTGACAATGAATGAATGACAACAAATTGAAAAGAAGTCACAATAGATAGTTTGCAGTAATATTTTCTTATGGAATGTTCTATAATTTATCCTTTGTTCACAACGCTCATTCTGCCACAAGCGCATCCTAATTTTCCTTAAATTTTCTGACTGGTAGTCGAGGGCTACCTAATCACACATGTTATATTAATCTAAATATTGTTAAATTTCAATATAACCATGTGCCTTGCGTATAAAACCAAATTCACTTTCTCTGACTACTCACAAGTAAAACACAGCCAGCAGGCACAATTTTATAGTAGTTGTGTAGTTATGTGCCATGTAGAGTAGAGGCAACCATGCGCAAAAAAAGTTTGTGTGCAGTTAATATTCATTTTTGCACAGTAAAACAAATTTTTTAGTAAAACAAATTGTATTTTATACTCACAATCAATTCATATTTAGTTCAAATATTTAAAGTCAAAATAACCATTTCACAGAAGTGGTTTTATTATAATAAAATAATTTGTGATTATACGTGTTCAAGTGATTAATTAATAAAGTAATTTACACTGAAAAATGTACAAAATATACACAATTTTTACCTTGCAACACTGGCTTAGCGCGCGGCTGATCGAAAAAGTTTGGTTTGCATTTACTAACTACAATGTACAGCTTACCCGTACATGAAAAGATAACTCACTGAATTGTTTAATACTAAATGCATATTAAGTCAGATGTTGTTCAATGAGTTAGCCACGAAAATGTTCAAATTGTGTAGGAGGGTAAAGGACACAATTGCTTATAATGCTCCTTTCTGCCCGTTGACTACAATGAACATTTCGCGGAGTTCCTCCAGACGGCTTTTGTCGGAGAGCGTGTTATTTACTATCTAAGTAAACTATAGGTAAAAATATAATATTAATCATAAGCTAAAATGTACTAATCTTTGTATTCTAAATGGGGAAAAAGAAGAAACATTGTCAGTCAGTCGAGAAAATTGTCAGTCAGGCTATATGGCAGCTTTGTAGATGTTGTGACTATGCTAGTAGTGGTCCCAGGCTTGCGACTGGAATTGCGGTGTTAAATCGATTTAATGGTACCAACGATCCACCTCCCACTTGTTGTTTGGTACTTAGCATTAATAGTGTTAGCTGTAGCCATTTATAGCAAGAATCTTAAAACTAAAGGGGATGACAAGGAAAAGAGGAAGGAAAAAGAATAACGGGACAAACAATTAATTAAAGTATTTATAGGAGCATTAGATATTGTAATTACAAGCTTCAATAATAAATCACTGACTAAGACTTCTAATTAAAATGACACTTGGTACGCTCGCCCATTTTCACTGGTCAGTCTGAACTTCGGTTTAGCACGTTGTACACTTATTCACCTAAGTTTCAGAATTTGTTCAGTTTAGCAGAGTTAGTACCCGTGTTTCAATAAATCAAAAGATATCAGGGGAGTTCTTTAATAATGTTACGGTCATCTAGAATACCGAACTTCCTGAAAACGTTATCATATTTCCTCAGACAACGTTTAATGCCTTTAATCAGTCTATCACGGCTATATCCTCTATCAATTAGAATTTTGAATATTTTGTGAAGATGGGAGGTAAAGATATCCAATCTAGTGCAAACATTACCATATCTAAGAACTTGACTTGAAAAAACGTTGTAGCCAACCTCGGTTGGGATGTTACTGTGAGGAAATGTAAGGGATACAACATGAAAATTAAAATCATCAGTTTTGTTATACACTGATATTTCTAGTCCTTCTGTGGAAATATTAATATTTAAATCAAGGTAGTTAATGATTTTATTATTGGAACCAGCTCGCTCCATCTCCAATGAATTAGGATAAATATCTTTAATCAATTTTTGAAAGTAAAGGTAGTTAATAATAGATAAATCGTCAACATATCGTTTATTATTGGATAATATCTTTGCTAATCCCATTTTCTTTTCCTGAAGTAAACGTTTCATATAATTAAATTCCTTTTTGCCAACAGTGAGATCAGCTATAGGGGAACTTGAATTTCCACCCATAGGAATACCCTTGGTTTGTATGAATACAATCCCACCAAAGACGACATAAGTGTTATAAATAATAAATTTAACAGCCTCTTTTAGGTCATCTTGACTAAAGCAGGCATGACAATCATAGGTTTTATTGGAAAAGAAACATGTATTACTGTCTCTTTTAGAAATACAAATATATCTATTACGGTCTGAAAATATTAAATCAACAACTTCATTAATCATATTCTCTACTTCAATCAAGTCTAATCTGGTATAAAGAGTAGTAAAATCATATACTTGTATATTATAAACATCGCTATTTTTGATAGCTTCAAGGAATTCACTTGAGGAATCTATGCTCCAAAACATGTTTATACCGCTGTTGTTGTAGATTGCCTTGCAGTATTTCTTGAAGTATTTCCTCAAAAGTTTCAGACAACAGTTAACTATGTTATGCAAAAGCCAGGCCAACATTTTGTTTTGTGTCAGCCGCACTACCAGGTTGCAGAGCATGATAAATACTTTTTTTTAAATCATACAAATTTGCTAATATCAGAGTCCAATCTAGCTGCAAACGTTAGACACCACAGTTCAGCCGCCAAGTACTGTTTAAGTGAACACTGAGACACAAGGTTTAGGTGTCATTTTGTAAATCACTTTATGGATGGATAATTCTGTAATTATTGTAGAAAATTACAGTCACTGCCTCATATAATAGCGTGTCACGGCCAAGAATAAACATACGATACGTGCGCGCTTTAGAAACCCGCGCAAATATTGAAGTAGTGGGTAGCTGCGGCGCGCTTATAATATATATTACGTATAGCGCCTTACAGAAACGGCAATATTTAAGTAATTAAGTATTTGTTTACGGTACATAAATTCCACGTTTTTATCAATTATCTAGCATGGCCCAAAACTGTTGTCATTATGCCACTCATTATCGAACCTGCTTTGGGCATCTAGAAGAGATCGGTTTAGCTTTGATTTGATTGAGTAGCAGGATGTGTTAACAAATGGAACACAGACAGGAATTAAAATTTTCAAACACAGTTTCAAGAACGATTCAAATAATAAGATTTTAAATGCATTATATATTAGGGCCTAGCAGCAACAATTATTATGAAATGAGTGTGGTTCGAGAAAGAGGATGTAGATTACAGGCTTTTGGAAAAGTTTAGGAAATTTGCTTTCAGGATTTAAATAAGATACGCTAAATCTAGTCAAGTTTCGTTGTACATAGTAATCTAGTGAAAATTAACAACTGCCACCAATTAGTGGGAAGCTTCCCACCATCCCACCATCCCACCAGTAAGCTTCCACTCTTCCTACCGGAAAGCTTTCTCTTCCAACCAGGAGGCTTCGGAAATGTTGTGCCTTTCCACAGAAAAGACCATCTTTTTCCTGGCACTATGATTTCAGAAAGCCCTCTTTGTTGAGGATTTTCTACCGGTGATTTTTCGAAAATTTACGGGTAAATTAAAATTATTTCCCGGTACACTAGCGTACTGAGCGTACACCCTTTTGAAAGTTAAGTGGCTTTGCTGGACACGATAGTAGCCCACTGAATGGAATTGAAAAATCCCTCGTGGGACCCCCAATAAGCATAGATGGAGGTGCTGCAGACTCTGGAAAGGGAAGCCGGTGAGACCCCTACAATAATTAAAGTAAAGTAAAGTAAAATGTATGACAAAACAATCGTTTTTTTTAATTTTTTTATTTGAAAATTCAATTAATCATTATATATATAAATCAAGCGTTACATTTCAGCCATGCAAAGTTACAATGACATATTTTGATATACTAAATGATAAATGGTACTGCAATATAAGTTGCTTAATATTTGGCCGGATGACAACTAACGAGAAAAATAAACTTGATTATATAATAATTAATTCGGCTGAACCAACACATAGCAAGAGCCACATTAACGTTGGGGCCGTCTACCAAATTTGAATGACAAACATTAACAAGTAATCAAACATATCATAAATAATTATAAGGATTTTGTTCATTACAATTCCGTCACAACTGATAAGAAAAAAGAAAAGGACAAGCAGATAGGAAATTGGACGGACAGAATTGTAATCAACAAAAACAAATTTCTTAGACTCATAAGACTGATGAG